TGTTTCACCTATAAACGGGCACGCTAATATTTTGTCAACAATAAGATCAAAAAATTACCGTAACCCCGATCGGATTGTGAGCGCGGATCATCTGGAGGAAGAGCTGGAGGCGTGGCGCCGGGATCGGGCCTACTCGAACCTGGTAAAGACGAATGAAGCCGGCAGAAATTGAAAAATATATTTTGACGGGGATAAAATTTCCAGATTTCCGCAATGTTTCAGAATAATTCGAGGGCCAGGAGAATCGAGCAGTTTCATTGAAGTCGCATTTCCAGCAGGATAAAACGCACCACTCTCTCGTACTGCGACAGGCCGATCGACTCATCGACAATCGTCGACTGCGGCTTGAAGGTGGTGGCGCGGCTCGTTTGCGCGGCGACGGCATAACTAAAAATGTTGTTTCTAAAGAGTCACGATATCTATTTGAAACGGGGTGTTAAAACTTGACATACCTTTCCAAAAATGGCAATTTTATTGGTTAAATCGAGAGTTAAAATGGTAGTTTACAAAAAATCAATACAGATAGCAGGTTCTGCAGTATTTCTAGGGGATCCGGATTTCCCTTAGCGTCTATTTTTTCGAATATAAATTGAGATATTGTTTCTAAACCATTTTTAGGCTTTTCCGACCGTAAAAACGTTGCAAAAACGCTACTAGAACATATAAAAAATCGATTTCTCGAACAAAAAGACCAAAATTGCAACCTTTAAGTGGTTTTAAAATTTCTCAATAGTTTTGAAACTTCGGACGTAAAATTATTTTTCATAAAAAGCCCATTACAATCGATGCAATTCACGCCCACCTATCCACCACCGGAAACTGGAACTTTTTCGCAATCTTGTGCACGTAGGCCTGGTACTTTTCGAGGGGCACAAAGTCGTGGCCCTGCAGCCGGATGTTCATCACGGGGAATCTAAATAAAGGTTCAAAATCACGTTTAAATAGTTTACTCTGGAAATTCGCGTGGGTCCTCGAATCGAGGCTCATACCGGTCCAGCGGGTCGATTTTTCCAACTAAAAAAAGGAGTTTTTTGAAAAATACACTTTCTGAAACCTTTTTCTCTGAGCGAGGCAAGTCCACGGGCAGTGTTCGAGGTTATGCGGGGTCGTAGTAAAGTTTTTAGCATCTGGAAAATGTGAATGTAAAATTTCCCATTTTGCTAAAAGCCAAAATATCCAAAAAAGCTGAAAATTGAAAAAGGAAGTTTTCAAATATACGGAAGTGCAGAGGTAGTTTTTGCAATTACTATGGCTACCTGTCGAGGAATGTCCAAAACAATTCAAAAATATTTCTTCAATGGTTTTCCAGTTTTCAAAAACAAAAACATGGGGCTGTTCGTCAATCGTTTATTAAACACCTCCAAAAAACCCTTGGCAAAGATCATAAAAAAAAACGAAACGAAATTGTTATTATCATAATAATTTCGCAATCCGGAAACGCATCAATGTGACTAGCGGGGTGCAATGAAAGTCACGCAAAAGAAAAATAATTCTACAATTTCGCGATGAATAGAAAGAAGATTGGCCAGCAAAGGGGAATTGATGGAATGCATGCGAAATCGGGTTGTGGCACGGTATAGGTGAAAGAAGGGCTGGAAATTGGTCTAAAATTGGATTGTCGGGCCAATAAAAGTTTTAAAATGACCGGAAAGGGTAGAAATACAAGGGCTAGAAGTAGATACACATCGTGAGCATGAAAAAGCGTTGGTTTGACAATGATAAGCAGAATTGAGCGATTTTGGCGGCGTCCTGATGAGGGTTTCACCACAGCGAGTGCCGGTTGACGTTCGGCTGCGGGATTTCCGGGTACGACGTTGGGTATGGCGGTTGGACCATCGACGTCGGCCGGCCGCCGCCCATCGGCGTGTTGTACAGCTGGTCTTGCAGCAATTTTGTGAGGCGATCGGACTTGATTTTTCTGAAAGAAGAGGTTATATGAAGTCCTAGATACAAAATTGTAGTTTTCCAGAAACAGATTCATAAATACAAACTTACTATAAAACTACTTTCTACTTTCTAAACGTGAAAAAGTTGCTAAATCTCATTAAAAAAAATACTTAAATAGCGATTTTTCGATCAAAACTGAAAGTTTAAAACATTTTCTCCAAAGTTTTTCCTCATGAAACAAGCTAAACCTTCCCAAAAGCTATTAAAACAGTTGCTAGTAGTTCAAATTGGAAAAAAATCGCCCCTCCCGATATCTCACCTCGTATGCGCCAGCTTCTTTTTCGCCAAAAACGTCTTGATAAACACGTCCGGCGTGAGCGCACCCTCCTCGAATTGCTGCGCGATTTCCTGAACGTAGAAATAAGTTTAGAAAAGTAATTTTGAACTTTAAACAGTTTATAAGACCCAAAACCCAACCTCAGCCTCCTCTTCCGTTTTCTGGGCCTCAATCTGCAGCAGGGCGCTTGTCGTCTCCAGCGATCGCTCGTTGCCGGATTGATCTGAAACATAATTTTAGAATTTAAGGCAAGGAAACGTACCAAGTTGCCCCTTCAGCCGTTCGACGTCCGTTTTCAGTTGCGTGGCCCGCGTGTGCGTCTCGCGGAGCTGGTCTTTCATCTGGCTGATTCGGGGTTCCTAAAATGATCGGATAGACTTTTATAAACTATTTTTACTATTCCTAAACGTTAAACTCCGCAAACTTAAAAAATACAAAAAACATCGATTCTTCGTCTAAAATGCCGTTTTTGACCAAGGTTTTTCGAAGGTTTTCAGATAGTTTTTTCTAGTTAAATATAGATATATTCCACTAAAAGCACTATTAAAACAGTTCCTCATAGGTTACTCGACATTTCTAGACCTATACAAAAAAAATTCGGTCCCCCGATAATGTGAAAGGACCAAAAAACCAGTGCTACATGATACTGAAAATCGAACGATCATCACCTGCGCCAAATTCCACTCGGCCAGCGACTTGTTCTGCGCGAGCTCGGCCTTTTTGTCTTGGGGCTGGTTGCGGATCTGAAAGGGAAAAACGAATAAACTTAAAAGAACAAATAAAGCCACAAACCTGCGGCAACTCCTCGATCATCGCCTCCATTTGGGCGTCGTTGTCGAGCAGTTTCTGCAGCTGCTCGGTCGTCATGTTCTTCACGGAGGCCATCACGCTCTGCACGCACAGGTCGACCATGCTGTCGTAGCCGGCGTACATTTTGGCCTGAAAAGGGGAATAAAATAAGACTGTAAAGGAATCAATGGCCACAAGTGAAAAGCGAAAAACAAAAGAATAGCTAAAATCGAGCCCGGCTGGCCAAAAGTTAACTTGAAATCGTAGTAAATCAACCAAAATAGGATTCGTGAAAGCATCGTATTTTATTAAAACATCACTGTTCCAAGTTTTTCATTGAAAAAGGTCACGAAAATACGATGATTCACTCGTTTCCCTGAAACACATGCTCTTTCGCAGCCCAATCCCAGCCAATTTGGGGGCACAGAGGTAGAGGAAGGCGCGCGAAAAGCCTGGGTACGGTTGCTCCAGACACAGGACCCGATATAGGAAACAACGCTACAACCACCGAAGACTGAGCCGCGCCAATCGCAATTTTCCACTATTTTTTCTGATGCATTTTTTCGTCATGCTCATCGTATATGGAGGAGGATATAGGGCCAGTTAGCATAGATTGTTGAGGAGAGGAGAGGGCAGGCTAGCAGAGATTGTTGAGGAAGAGGAGAGGGCAGTCTAGCAGAGATTGTTGAGGAAGAGGAGAGGGCAGGCTAGCAGAGATTGTTCAGGAAGAGGAGAGGGCAGGCTAGCAGGGGCCGTTTAGGAACCCGCCCCAGGCAGCTGTCCGGAAATGCGTGTTGCCATGGTGACGCTTATGTGCCCCCGGGGGCACATAAGCTCCCAATAATTCTTAGTTCCCTAATAATTCGGATATTCTTAATATTATTATTATCTTTCTATTCCCTAAATGGTGACCCAGGGCCACTCGGTGAATGAGTGGTACACTGCTTTCTTGCGGAATCGCCATGTCTTACCGCGTCGGCTGCGCGATTTTGAGGCGGGCACGCCGGAGGGATTTGCAGTACGATTGGATGGTGTTCAGCTGAATGGAGTAAGTAGAGTGAGAGAGAGAGAGAAAAGGAGAGAGAGCGGGAGGGAGAAGCAAAAAAATTCCAGGCCAACACCAACTACCTCTACTTTGTGCAGCTGTGCTTTTTCGATTCTAAAACGCGCCAGTTTTTCGGGCGTCCCTACCGTACCCGGGCCCTGCGAGCCGTTGAGGGGAATGTTAACTTTGACGAGGTAAGGAAAAATTGGCAAAAAAAGATGGCTATAAAAATCTAAGTTCTAGTAAAATTCGAACTATAAAATAACTATGTGCTTTGATAATTGTTCATTATAAACCCAGAGGAGACATAGTTAATTTTGAAACATGATGAAAAACTAAAAAAATTAAAATTTAAAAAGTAAAACATCAAAAACAAAAAATCTAAAGCCATTTTTAGGAAATCTTCTTCCATTGCCCAGTCATTGGCGACGAGATTTCGCTGATTTACGAGCTGGTTGAAGTGAGAACTTAGAACTCAAGTTTAAATTCATTTTATTACTATTACTAGGAATTTTCCTATATTTTTTCTATTTCCAATAAAGTATCTTTGGAGTCCGCTTAGTCAATTTAATTATATTTGAAGTGCAAAACTGCCTAATTTTTGCGTTGAATTCATACATTTTGGGTTAGAAGAATCGATGCTTTTCTATTTTCCGAATGTTTTTGAGTTGACTTTAAGCGTAAAGCTATTTAGAAAACTTTAAAAACTTCAAATTTATCGAAATTTTGGTCGTAAATCGTGAATTTTGGTAGAAAATTAATTTTTTTTTGTTTCTCGAAGCGGTTTTTTGAAAGTTTTACCTCTAGAAATAAAAGAAGGTAAAGAAAACCCTAGCTTCCCCGAAAAGAGTAAAGTACCGAAATTTTAGGCTTCACCAGCCGATCGGGCCGATCAGATGACGGTTGGCTGGGGGATGCAGCCGATAAATTCTCACTCTACGGCCCTCCAGAATTATGTGGTTGATCGGAGATCGTTTCAAACCCCATCCAGGTAATTTTTATTATTTTTAAACTTAATTTCCTTAGTTTGATTTACCTTTAAACTTTTAAATTTACTATTTAGACAACGTCTTCTACCCGGCACCCCGAAGGCCCTCATCTACACCACCAACATCGAGCAGGAGACGCAGGGAGCCACAGGTGTTTACGCTTCCGAAATGCGCTGATCTAGCTTCAAACTTGCGTGGCTTCGAAAGAGCATGTTTTTAAAGTGCTTACAATGTATTTTAAAGGGGCCCATTCCCTAAAAATTTGGTGTTTCAAAAAAATTAGTTTAACCGAAAAGTGGGACCGATTTTAATAGCCCCTTTTCATGGAGTAGTTTTGTTAATTTAAACTTTAGTAAGGTTTTGGTGAAATCAGTCTATTACCATTTTCATTTATTAAAAAATCAAGGAATTAAATAAATATATTAATGCAGAAATTGTAAAAACTCTGCCCGAATTCAGAAAAAATATGTTTCAAAAATTCAGTTCTACTAAGTCCACGCTGCTACATTAATATAGCTCAATCCAGTCTCGAGGCAAAGGCGTTTAAAAACTACATAAAATAATAGACCTTAAAAAAACTAATTAAATAACAATAAAGTTCCAAGAAAAATGTTTCAATTAGCTCAGACCCGAATCAAAAGTCTGCACGTATAATCCAAGCCTGATCGCTTGACGTATCTTGATTTCGATGTATTCAAATCAATTTCTTTGCAGCAGAATCCGCTAAAAATCAATAATTAGGTTAAAAATAGTTTAAAAATTAGTTTAAGAATTACAAAAATGAACTTACGACTTTCAGGCGCGCTGCAGGCGACGCTCTTCTCGCACCCGCAACTCCTCGCCGCCGCCGACTATTTTGGGCCCTTTTTTCTGGTCGGCCAAGCTGATGACATTCCCGGACTGGCCGAGTTTGAGCGCCGTATGTTAATTAGAATTTAAGAAGCAAACCTAAGCCTGAGCCTACGCGTAAGCCTACGCCGAAGCCTAAGCTCAAGCCTAAGCCTAAGCCTAAGCCTCAGCCTAAGCCTATGCCTAAGCCTAAGCCTATGCCTAAGCCTAAGCCGAAGCCTACGCCTCAGCCTAAGCCTAACATGTAAGCAGTCAAAAAAAATTATGATTTTTTTAGAAGTAGAGATCCTAGCGGCATTAAACTCATCAATTTTGTTATTAGTACACAAATTTTTGAAGCATATGATTTTTAGAATTGTTTTAGAATTAAATAAAAGATTTCTTTTGGAATTCGGGACCTCACTTGTATTAAACTTGCAAATTTTGTTAACAGCAGTAACTTTTTTGAAGCATATAATTTTCAGTATCACAGCTCTCCGCTCCGGAATTGTTACCATTCCTGCCGGGATCCATTGATGAGGTAAGTTTTTATTCGACAAAAAAGAACTATTTTTGTAAAACGTAAAATTCTATATTTAATACGGTTTAACAAACTAAATTAAATTAAAATTAAATTAACTTAAAAATATCTCAGGTAACCATCGATTTCGGGGAGCACGGGAAGGAGATTGAGGACGCGCTGCGCGCCGATATAACCGCTGAGCGGCGGTGCAATTATTTTGTGCCGTAAGTTCGTTGTACTTAAAATGATTTTATTTAATTCGTATTAATATTTTATTTATTCACTTTAATTGCTGCTTGTCGATATGACAAATAATGAATAAAATACCTTTAATGGGATTTGTTCAAACACCTTGATTCTATGAAACTTCAAATTTTCATGTTTCAGTCCATCCCGAAATACCAAATTACCTCCACCGAGATTGGCGATTATCGAACGAAGATTGAGGGTAGGTTAAAATTAATTTTATATTTTTTGTATTAATTAGATTAATGTATTCTTATTAAACCAAAATTTTGTAATTTATCAGTTTTTAAATAATTATTACATTTCTATTTCTAAATGCCATTTTTGAGATCGGCGTCCACAACGGCTTCTCCTATATCGGGGAGCCGGTTACGGTAGTGTTGTCGATGGGAGAAGCGGCTTCAACCACTCATTCTCTACGCAGGAAGAGCATCAGCCCGTCGCGCCGGGACTCGAGGTTGGTTCTTAGGCTTGGCTTAGGCTTTGCTTAGGCTTGGTTTAGGCTCGGCTTAGACTTAGGTTTTTTCATAGCGTATTGACTCAAGTTTATTACTTTTAGATACTCCGTGCAGGGCCTCTCCCTATTAATGCTTCCTACAAAGGTGGCAATTCCGCGAATTTCCGCCGACAGCCGGCTGGCCGTCGTGTTTTTGCTCGAGTTCGTGATGGCCGAGTATAATTCAGAATTTGTGAGTTTCGCTCTCCCTCTCTCTCTCTCTCTCTCTCTCTCTCTCTCTCGTTCTCTCTCTCTGTCTCTCTCTCACTCACTCTCTTCTCTCTCTCCTCTCTCTCTCTCTCTCTCTCTCTCTCTCTCTCTCTCTCCCCTTATCTATGTTTTCTTTCGTTTCAGCACAGCTACGGTGATTCCAAGACGGCGTTAGTATGCTGGGGAGCGTGGCGGCCTTTCGGCGGCGAAAACCACAATATCGAGCCGGGACCGCAGAAGGTGAAAAGTGAGTGTTTCAAAAAATTGGGGAAACGTGACAAGGCTAATTAATTCCAAAGATTTCTTGGTGGATGACCTATCCCTTGCTAATTACATTTAGTTATGCAAAATAATACTTCAAAAACAAAAACAAAATGTAATTCTTTCGTGCTCCGTGTAAAACTAATCTTGCAACCCTTAAAATTCCGGGTCAAAAACGATGAAGGAAAACGATTTAAAATGGATTAAAATAAGTTAAATTAGGTTGGTCCCTTTAATTCATCATTTAAACATTTAATCATAAAAATTAATTAACAAATTCGATGGGTAAATTTGGGCGCCAAATACAAACCAAATTTTCTAAAATCTATGTTTCGCTCGGTACCACCTTTTGAAAAGTCGTAGAACTTATAGTGGGCCTGTAGCAGAAAAGAATAAAATATACGAAATACACAAAAAGACGCGCTATCGTGATCCAATAATTAAGAAAAACTATAAATAAAAAATTTCAAAAATGACTTTTACAGTGCAACTGGTCGGCGGGCCGCGGCCTAATCCGGATGAGAATCTGTGTTTCAAGAACTTGCATAGGTGAGTCTGAATCCCGCTTTTTAATGGAGCAGTCGCTTCTGTCAAAAGTATTCATAAATCAAATATTATTATAAAAATTGTTTAAAAATTAGATTGATTTTAGCATATTCCAACAAAAACTAAATACGCTGCCAGCAATGCCGCGGATCGAGATGGCGTTCGTTTTTAATGCCAAGGATGAGGTAGGCGAGAGAGAGAGGGAGCGAGAGCGAGAGAGAGAGAGAGAGAGAGAGAGAGAGAGAGAGAGAGAGCGAGAGAGAGAGAGAGAGAGAGAGAGAGAGCCAGAAAGAGCGAACGTATGAATTCAAGATTTCTATTCCCAGGAGATGTCCTTTGATCTCCGCTCGCCCCCGTCACGACCTTTTGGACGTGGTCGCCCGGTTGAGCACAGGGTTACGGTATTTTCCGTGCATTTTAGGGAGAATGGAGTAACTAATTTTAGAGCCCACAACCCGAAGCTCCAGCTCTTGCTCCCCAGCCAAGGCCAGAGGCCGAGAAACGGCCGGAGAGGAGGGAAAATGAGAAAAGAGCAGATAGAGAGGAACCGAGGAAGGGTCCGGAATATCAGGTTCTGGACCCGGTGGCTGTGGAAAAGGTTATTTAAGGATATCTATGCCTCTATCTCTATCTCTCTCTCTCTCTCTCTCTCTCTCTCTCGCTCTCTGGCTTTCTGTGGCTCTCTCTCTTCTCTCTATATCTCTGACTTTCTGTCTCTGTCTCTTTCTCTCTCGCTCTCTCTTTTTTTCCCTCTCCCTCTCTTTCTCTCGTGCTCTCTCTTTCTCTCGCACTCGCTCTCTCTCTCTTTTTAGGATCGTCTTAATCCGTTTTTTCAGAAATTCCAACCAAAACCGGCCGTACATTTCACGCCTGAGAAAGCTCTCGAAAAATCGCCCAACCAAGAGCTAGATGAAAATGAGAATTATACGGTAGTCGACACGGAATATGTTAGGTGGATTTTTAGACCAATAAAAATATCTTTAACCGTTTTTAAAAACTGTAAATAATGAGGAAGGCTAGAGAAATAGAGCATGAAAATTGTGAAATGGCGAATAACAATCAACATTGTACAGTTAACGAAAATCAGCAGCCCAGAATTTTGTATAACACGTTTTTCGAAATATGGACATGATCTTAAATTTTAATTTCGTTCTAATCTCAAAATTTCAGCGCGTTCTCCGTTCCGCGCTCGGCCTATGGACTCGTCGCCTGGGCCAAGGTGGGGACTAGAGTGCGGCTTATTCAAACCGGGTTTGAATAAGATTTCCGTTATTCAAATCAAACCGGTTTGATTTGAATACCGGATCCTTATTCAAACCAAACCCGGTTTGAATAAGGATTCCCAACTCAAACCAAACCAAACCGGTTTGAATAATTTGAACAAGGTTTGAATAAGAGCCAGTCTCCGAAGCAGTCTGTTTTCGGCACCATTTTTGCATTTTTGCACCAATCCTTTTGTGACTTCACTTTAAGGTGGTTCAGCAGCATTCCTGCCAGGTTTTTGGGGTTAGCGGATCATTTCGAGACCTTTTTCTTTCAGCGCTGCCAAGGTTATCCCGACCATTTGGATTTCTTGCAGAAAGGTCAGGAACGCTTTGTCTATCGTTGGGTGAGTAAGTAAGGTCACTCCCCCGAACGGTCCCGACTCATCATTATATTGATCACACAAGGTTTTAGAAGGGATGCCTCGAAATCTTAGCCGATTAGCATCCATCCAATCGATTAACATGCTGATTTGCCTGTTGTTCAAACCGATTCAAACCAACTCAAACCTGGTCGGTTTGGTTTGAATAACGGATCCTTATTCAAACCAAACCGGCTTGATTTGAAAAGCAGATTCTTATTCAAACCGCCCTTATTCAAATCAAACCGGTTTGAGTCGCGATTTGATTTGAATAAGCCGCACTCTAGTGGGGACCTGGCCTCAATTGGTCTCAATTAACTTCAAATTAATTTTAAAAATCAAAAAGTATGTATCGAATTACACGGGAACGCTTTTGATCTTTATGTAAAATAGATGAAACATTGACATTAAATCGGGGTGCGGCGGAATGTAATAATTTCTAAAGCGATAAAGTAACTTAAATTAGGAAAATAGGCAATTTAGACTGAGGAATTAAGTGAGCGAATTGAACCAAATAAAAAAATCTAAACTAATTATAGAAAGCACAGAACGATCAAGAGCAGTGCCTTCAAGTTCATTAAAAGCAAATACTTCGAATTTCTATGTTACAATATATGAAGCATTTAAATTCAAGCGGGGTGAAGCGGCATCTATAAGTCTAATTAATAAATTTAACAATTTTACTTAATTGTAAAATCGAGGTGCGTAATAAAATATTAAATATATCTTAAAAAAAAACAATTTAATCTAAAAGTTTCTATCACTAAAATTGACAAGAAAACCGAAAATTGCTAGACAATTACTAAAAAAGTATAAATTTAGTATGAAATTAGCAATATAAATTGATTAGGAAGTCGAAAAATATAGAATTTATATATGAAAACAATTAAATTAATTTTAATAAATTCCGAAAATCGAAAATCGCAAAAAAACCGAGTAAATGCAAATTTCAGATGCCCCCAATCTACGACCGAAACGGTGATCTGCCGAAAACGGTCGAATTATCTGCCGGAACCAGCTACAACGAAGCCATTGAACGCAACGATCTCTGACACCCCCACGAGATTGTTGTACAATTTTTGGGCGTCACTTGGTAAGTTTTTATATGACGATTGTGGGGTGCTTTTGCATTAGCGGGGGTGGGGGGACTAACTATTTTCTTTATCATCCAATTTCTACAATAAGAATAGAGGCAGTGTCTTAAATCTACTTGTTGCATTTCCAAACGTAAAAAGGTTAGAAATTTTATTCAAAATCCAAAAATACCGATTTTTTTCGCCAAAAAAATCACGCTTTTCGAACATAATTTCGAATTTTAAATCAGTTTTAATGGATCTAATTATTTTTCCACTTAAAATACAAGTGAATTTTTGCTAAAAACCAATAAAATAGTAAGAAGAAAGGAAAACAGCGAAAGTCAGAAAAACGTATACCCCCAAAATTTAACTTAAGGTTCCAATTTTCGACTTAGAATAAATAAAAAACTAACATTGAAAAACAAAATAAATGGATTAATAATCACGAGAATTAATTGAGGATAGGCTTCTGGCCAGAAACATAAATTATATTTTTCCAGGGCCAATCAACACCTTGCAACCCCGAAACATGTCTTTTTCACATTCCAATTCTATCGATTCCCCGAGGTGACGACGGAAAAGTAAGTTATTTCTGAATAGGTTTCATTAATAATTAAAAAAACTTTATATTTCATTGATAAAAAAAAGCAAATTTTACTAAAATCGTGCCCCTTCCCTGTTTGAAAACACATGTTTGGAAATTTTTAAGAATAGGGTGTTGTTTTTCGGATATTGATATTGCACCGTATTTTTCTTAGGCATCTTAAGTGATAAATATGTACTTAGACTAAATTTTAATATGTTCTTAATTTTACTTACTAAATAGTTATATAAATTTGTATAATCTCTTTAGATTGCTGGCGGTTCCGACGAATCCGGGGAGGCCTTGTATTCTGAAACGGTTACGCCCTGGAAATGGGGAGCCGGTTGAGGAGAACCATGGATTTATGGTAATTACCCAACGATAAATTCCTCAAATTGTCTCTGCTAGCCAGCCGAAAACGAAATCTATGTTGCAAAAGTTCGGGTATCCGCTTGGTAATGCGATACTCATAATCCATGGTCAAGCAATATCGCAATGATCTATCCTCAATAACCTCTGCTAGTTTGCCTCTCACTACCCCATCTCTCTCTCGCTCTCTCTCGCTCTCTCTCTCTCTCCCTCTTTCTCTCTGTCTCTCTCTCTCTCTCGCTCTCTTGATTTTGAATAAAAATTACAAAAATAATCAAAAAAAATTTTCAGGTCCGTCTTACGGTAGACCGATCAGCCATTTCGCCGCAGGATCCCGCCGAATTCGTTAACTTTCTTCTAAACGCCAGCCTGCAAATTGACGTCTGGGACGCAGATTCGGTGCAGTTAATCGGGACGACTGATATCCCGCTGCACGTGAGTCTATAATCCCGACATTTAAATTATATAAAACAGCACATTATCAAAACAAAAAGACACCTTTTATATTACAAAATTTTTTTGCCGTAGTTAATTTAGACCCTTAGCCTGAGTCTAAGCCTAAGCCTAAGCCTAAGCCTACGCCTAAGCCTAAGCCTAACCTAAGCCTAAGCCTAAGCCTAACCATTAAATAAGTTTTATATACTGGTGTATGAGGGGAAAAATGTATTGGGCCGTCTATGAAGGCAAAAACAAACTTCTATTAAGCCGATACAAAATTTAAGCAAAACTATACCAGCGCTGAAACATGTTATTTTCAAGCCCTCTTTAGTGCCTGATCCGAAACGGCCTGGAAGCCGTCCAATTCTTCGCCTACGGTACCGTGGTGCAGAATATTGTCGGGCCTCTGCAAAAGGTGAGCGGGATTTAAATTTTTTGATTAGTCTCTTAGTTAAAGAATATAAAATTCCAAAAAAATATATTGATTTGAAAAACAAGGTGTTTCAAAAAATATTAAAAAATGAAATCATGAAAATCCGTTACTAATGTATTCGATGCCTTCCAAAAATACACCATTATAGAATGCCGGCTCGCTTTTCATGAAATTCGCCTCGATCGGACATCCGAGTAATAACCAAATAGGTATAGCTTTGAAGGCTCTTTCTCTCAATCTCTCTCTCGCTCACTGTCTCTCTCTCTCTCTCTCTCTCTCTTCTCCCTCTCGCTCTCTCACGCTTTCTCTCTATCTCTCTCTCACTCGCTCTCTCTCTATCTCTTTCCCTCTCTCACTCTCACTTAAATGTTTCAGACCTCGTCCATTCGAAAAATGAGGCCGTCGTCTCGAAACGGCTCGAGAAATTGGATTCGGCCGCTGATTCGCTTATGGTAAAAAATTTTATTAATTTTGTATTATGGACGATTTTAATTTAAACAACTTAAGGCTAATTTAAATTATTTCAATTTTCAGATCCGCGTCCGCCCGCTAAACCCTGCACACGAGAATGCACTACAAAAATTCTTGTACGCTCAAAGGTTCGCGAATTTTAATGTACGGAATTTTCTAACAAACCAAGGCCTAAGCTTAACGCAAACCTAAGCCCAAGCCTAAGTCAAGCGGAAGTCAAGACAAAGCCTAAGCCTAAGACTAACTAGCTCAGCAATCAATATCCCAAACGGAGCATACAGCTCCTGAAAAAAAAACCATGTTACAAATATTTTTAAATATCCCGCAAAAGGCTGCAAATCAATTGTTTGTAGTTAGGTGTTCATAAAAAACAGCAACAATTGCGCATATGAAAAGTGCTTAACATAGCATAAAAAAGCGATTAGGGTTTTGAGTGCGGGCTAAAAAGGGGCGGGGCCTGAATATGACTTGCCAAGTCCTTTAAAAGCCTACTTTTTAGATTGGACATTTCGCAGAGATTCGCCGAAGAAAATGGGGATTCTAATGGGTATGGCCATCCCACGACCGAGGCTTTGAGCGAGCGAAGCAAGGTGATCTTTAGGCTCAAGATATTTTAATAAAAACAATTCAATTCGCGCAATTTAAATAGTACTTTGATTTTAACTATTAAATTACATGATTAAGGTAAAAAGCTTAAAAATGCGCCTTTTGAAACTCAATGTTTCGTCTCAAAAAGATGACGCTACTGGGAGAATTTGGATAATGATACGATCATTATTTTTTAGAAATAAACTAGATATAGAAATAATAAATCGGAATAATATAAATATTGAAATCATCGATTTGTAATCATTTTTTTTTGTAATTTTGTAAACTCCGTTGAAAACCGCAAGGAAGTTCACTAATCGTTGCCAATAAAAAATAAAAAAAGCAAAAAAGAAAAAAGCAAAAAGAAAAAGAAAGAAAAAAGAAGAAATAACAGAAAATAAAGAATTAAAATAAAATAAAAAAGCAAAATAATTCGAGATTTAGGTTTCCAGAATTTTTAGAGTTTCCTGTTTTTATTCGCCAGTGCTAACATGATGATCGCGCATTTCATATTGTTTTAGAAAACCATGAAAAACTTCGTGTTCGACGCCGAGTTGGAGGCGTACAAGCGGATCCGCAACGAGGGGAAGGCCGGCCGGTTGTTGAACACGCTGTTTCGGGGGATTACGACGGAACACAAGTAAGGCAGGCTAGCAGAGACAATCTGAGGAATTTTGGCCCCAGGCAGGCTAGCAGAGACAATTTGAGGAATTATGGCTCCAGGCAAGCTAGCAGGGAGAATTTGTTGTGGTCCAGGGCAGGCTAGCAGCGGCAATTTGAGGAATTATGGCACAAGGGCAGGCTAGCAAAGACGAATAGAGGAATTCTGGCCGAAGGGCAGGTTAGCAGAGGCAATTTGAGGAATTTTGGTACCAGGGCAGGCTAGCAGAGGCCATTTGAGGAATTTTGGTACCAGGGCAGGCTAGCAGAGGCCATTTGAGCAAGGTTTTTTCTGGAATTTAATGCGGAAAATGATTCAGGATATTAATGCGCCTATACGTCCCTGATTTGCCTATGCTAACAAAACATTTTTTCCAGAATCCACGTCTCGTTGGGAGAATCGGTGTTTTTCGAATTTCTACTCCAAAACACGCTGGATCAGCCGGTGAATTGCGTCGTCGAGATTGAGGAACCGGGGTTACGGTAGGTTGATGATCTCGAGAATTGAAAATTCAATTTTGAAACTAGATTTAAAAGGCAACAAAACCACACAGAATCCCAGACTAACACAACTAAGGACACCAGATTTCTTGAAACAAGCATTATTTTTACGGTCTTTATAGGCTGAAAATTCCGATTTGTACGCTTTTTACGCTTCGCTTGTAGGTGATCTTGGAATTTTGTGTCCATTCGATAGAGCTGAAAATTCTGAACAAATCCCATCTATTAAAAAAAATAATAGCATAAAAAGAATTCTATAAAAACTGCAAATTTTCCCCCCTAGCCCTACTCAACAAGATCACCTGAAAATGGTTTGAAACACTTTTTCGTAGCTTTTTGTTTCCTGTCCGCTTAAGGAAGTCAGCTTCTGTTCCATCATCGCGGGGCGGGAGATGGCGCAAATTTGAATCAACAGAATCGATTAAAATCAATTTTTCCATTCCAAAATTTCGCTAAACCTAAAACCTCATTCCAACCTACTGGTGAAAGAGCAACTGAAAACTTCTTGAAACATCCTTTTTTCATTAGATTTTGTTTTCAATTCATTTAAAGAAGATGGATTCTGTTCCATTATCGGGGGGGGGGGCAAATTTTAAATAAAAAATGCTAAGCCTAATTTTTAAATTGCCAAAAACAGGGGAAATCCTTAAATATTTTTTTATGAATAAGCAGAATATTTATTCTATTTGCAACGTAAATTACCACGTATTTATTGAGGTTTGCATGGAGGCGTTACGTTAGCTTAGTTTAGAAACTAATTGCTTCACCAATTAGTTCGAGCCGAAAATCGCGGAACGTGTGAATTTTTGAAACATGGACTTTGAAAAAAAATTTATCGGTCAATTTTTTTGTTGAAAAAATAAATTTTGCTATTTTTCCTTAAACTTTTTCATGGTAATTTATGCTTATTTTCGATATTACAATTTAACTATTAAAATAGTCTCCTCACCGATGACGCCGAGTGGGCCTTCTACAAGAAGGCGCACAAATTGGACACGCCGATCGAGCGGAATTTGGTGCGCCGTGATGAGGAGGGAAAGGTATAAATCATGCTATAGAAAAATTGGTTCTTTAGGATTCCCGGGGCGGGGGGAAGTATTCCGGGGAAACCAAATTTTTTTCGGCACAAGCCTAGATTTTTTTATAAATTGCGGATGCGTTTCTAAATTGTTTTAACTATTCCTGAGTATAAAAACCACACACATTTTAACCAAAAAAAAATTAAAAAAATAAAAATTAGGTCGAAAAATCCTATAGAACCTTTAGGATTCGCGGGGGAAAGACCCAAAATGACCAAAGTTTCGACTTTTTAAACATTTTTCTAAATTTTTCTGAAAGTTATTCTGCTTTAAATATAGTTAAAACTTACGAAAAACAATTCGAAAACACTTTATATTTGATTACTAGGTCAACCGGCACCACCAGGAAAAAAATTGGTTTCCCCCGGAATACTTCCCCGGGGAATCCTAAAGAACCGAAAAATTAGCCCTGTAAAAGCAAGCTTCGATAATATTTGAATGAAAAATAATCATCTCATTTATTGCTATTTTATCTATAACCAGGGTTGAAAAGCCGCTTCGCGACTTTTCAACCCTGGCCCCGTCCAACCCCATCAGATTCTTCACTCTGCATCCGTCTTTCGATTTCCGATGAGAAAAATGAAAAATTCCGCTCTCTCGGGTTATATATAGGCCCCCGCAACTTCCAGCGTATGCTAATTATTTCCTAACAAAGAAGGCTGCCCCATTTTTCAACAAAAACTTAAATTTAATGTCGAAAACAGCTCATTTTGTAAAAACTTATATTGGTGCAGTCATCTCCAGACCATTACGCATCTAATGACGTATCAAACATACCTTAAAAGCCTTCCCTTTCCGAGATATCCTCCGGACAGAATGACGGTAGTTGCATGCAAAGTGGCACAGACACACACACAGACACTATTTTTTTATATATAGTAGGATCAATTGGCTAAAAAACAATAAAATTGCTCGAGGATTAAATGGCTTCAAAAAGAATAGAAGCGGAAAATGCTAATGCAAATGTAATAACGAAGGCCAAGGCATCTGAATACCTTGTTTTTTTGAAGTGTTTTTATTGGTATTTAATGAAACATCAGTTTCTAGTCCTCGTTCGCCAAGTTTTCTGCTTAACCCGAGTTTGGGTGGTTACATAGAAAAACTCAATAAGGAAAACAAAAAAGTAAACTAAATAACAAATTATGAAGAATTAGAAATTTAGTTAAGATTCAAAGAGAAACTTGATTCTAACTTTTTAGCATAATTTTCGAAGTTTTAATTTGGTATGATGCAAATATGTATATGTTTGTAATATAAAATTTTTAGCGAAGCTCGGGGTTTAATTTGTAGCATAAATCCCGGTTTAATTTTAACTCCTTGAATATTTAATAATTTAATTTTTTATGAAGTGCTTCGGATTTTTGTTGGTAAGATTTATGAAAAATTAGCTTAATGGCAGGTTCATAGCTTGAATAAAATTTTCCAGACAAGCCTGGTGTTGAAGCCGCGCGAGGTGGTGTACGTCCCATTCCTCTACGAGGACCTGAAGGCGGTGGGAAAAGCCGAGGGACAAACGAGCCAGACAAAGGTATCGATCTTAAGGGATTAAAATGGATTAAAATTTACGCTAAACCTTGCTAAGCCTAAAAGCGAAGCTAATACCGAAAGCCATTTTCAGAAAAACTGTTCCGTACCATTGTAATCTGCGAGTAAAAAGCAGCAATTATTAGGTGGCTGTCGCGAAACAATTAAACTGATTTGAAACTTCAAAAATTTAAAAAACCTACGCATATAATCCGGGGCGTAGCCAGAAAAAAATTTCGCGGGGGCCTCCAACAAATTTTTCCAAAAAACTTAAAGCATAGCCGGAAAAACAGCGCCGCAGGCAAAAATTTTTGAAAAAACAGGGTACATAGCTCTACAAATAGCCGTAAAAACGTGACAAAATAGCGCCGCAGGCAGCAAAATTTTTGAGAAAATGAAAATCATAAGGCTCCCCCTTATGAAATTTTCGGGCTCCAGCCGATTTCGGCCGGGGGCCCCGGGCCCCGGGGCTGTATTACGCTACGTCCCTGCATATAATTCACAGCTGAAATTCGTTAATCCAAACATTTTAGGAAGTCGGAAAAGCATTGTGTTTCCCGATTCTTTGCCAATAACTCAAATTAATCAAAATTAATTTGAGGTCACGGCGAATCTGAAAAATGCGCAAAAAAATAGTTTCAGACAATGCCGAAAACCAGAATTGGTATATTTCTGTATTAACAGAAAGTCGGCCGAAAAGACAAGAACAAAATACTGAAAATAAGTATTTTCAGGTAGTCTTCAAGCGTTGGCCATCGCTGGAACCGTTGCAAATTCTGAGTTTGCACGTGGTGCATCAGCCCTACGCACTGCTACGCTCAGTACGATTCTACTCGAGGGAACATCACAATTGTACTCGCAGTATACGAGTGCCGAGGAATTATCGTAAGTCTTGGGGCTAGCTAGCAGAGATTGTTGAGGAAGAGGAGAGGGCAGGCTAGCAGAGATTGTTGAGGAAGAGGAGAGGACAGGCTAGCAGAGATTGTTGAGGAAGAGGAGAGGGCAGGCTAGCAGAGATTGTTGAGGAAGAGGAGAGGGCAGGCTAGCAGAGATTGTTGAGGAAGAGGAGAGGGCAGGCTAGCAGAGATTGTTGAGGAAGAGGAGAGGGCAGGCTAGCAGAGATTATTTGGGAATTTCCAGGCCAAATCCTCCCAAAGTCCGTCAAAACGTCCGATCCAACCGTGAAAGCAAGGTTGATCTGGGCAAACGGAGCCCTGGATTTGCAGTTTACGGTAATTCCTTAAAAATTTTTAATTTTTAGAGTATTTTTAGGCGTTTTGCGGACCTAGCGGCACTTCAAGGGAATTTCTACTAATTTTGTACGCCGACGCGGAGGCCTACCGTCTTTTTGGGGTCTGGAAGGTACAGTGCGAAATTTTATTTTATTTTAGATTTTGCGTTTTTAAATTAGAAACGTCTTTCTATATTTAATGACTTTCTAAAATTGCCACTTATTTTAATATGGTAATTACAGAGGATCGGCGAAAAAATTTAATATGACTCCGCTAAGGAGTTATGATCATCACATTGTAACAGTTAAGCTGGACGGAGAGTGATGTTCAATTGAAACATAGGAGTATAAAGCGTAGAAAAATATTTTTTGTACCAGAGTTGGGCATAACCCATTTTTGAAATTTGGGAATATCGATAATTCTACATGTATTTACCGGGCTGACTAAAGACAACCACGCCGCACAATGACACATTCTTTTCGAAACATCAAAATTTCTGGAAATTTTGCGCTTGAATACAATTTTTTTCGTAATTTTCTACGTTTTTCACTGCTGCTTCGGAACCATAAATTTGATGTAAAAATTCATGCTTTATTAAGTAAATACTTACTTTAAGAAATAATACCTAAAAGCAGCCAAAACTACTTCGTTGTCCCAAAAAGAACGCGAGAAGCAGAACATTAGAGCGGTTCCAGAAAAGGAAAGATGGAAGTCATTTGAAACATTCACTTTTGAAAAGCCAGAAGGGTTGGGTGGCTCCTCCAAAATCCATAGCTCTCTCTGACTTTCCCTGCCCTTGAAAATCAATCAGCCACTAAATCGCCACAATAATTTGAAACATTTTTTCTGTGATACTTGTGGGATTTACTACTTTTTCTTCTTCTTAGGTCTGCTGCCTTCCCTTTTTAACTAGCATAGAAGTGGGACTACAAATTGCTATAGTTCCAGTTCAAAGACAGCGACAATACGTTGAAACATATTGAAGGGAAAAGGCTAGAAATTAGAAGTTAGATGTTTTAGTTTTTTTGATGTTTCCAGTTTTCTAGTTTTTTCCCTATCCTTACCGCTTTTTACGGTTTCGTTCCTTCTTTTTAAAACCGTTGCGAAAAAGATTTGCCTTTTTTTGCCCACACTTCTGTACAACTCTGCAAATAAAATGATGCCAGTTATGAGATAGTGACTAAAGAATAAAACCTAGTGTTTTAACAATTTCACATTTCGGGTTTTTCCCTTAATTTATGTCGGCTTTTTAGGTTTTCCAGATTTTTTCCGTGCAGAACCCACTAGGCCTTTTGATAATCCCATGAACAAAACCATTTTTTGCTTAAAATTTCGAATAAATCCGCTAACGGATGTCATCTTTATCACAGCACTTAGAAAATAGCAATCTGCGTAGGAAACACTGTTCTTGAAAATTCGTTTGCGTAACTTTTAACCTATCTTGAAAATTCTAAACAAGCACGAATATTAATTTTGAATTATTTTGATTTTGAAACCTTATAAGGATAAGTTTGCTATTTTAATATTAAAAGTCTTTCAGATAACCCTCTATTCTACCGGCTCCATTGAGCTGAAGGGCATCCAATCCGAGGTCACCAATTTTGGGGTCGAGTTGAAAAAGTGAGTTTCGGGGATATTGGAAAGGAAAAGTGGTTTCTATTAAATAGTCACCCGGCGTTGCACCTCAATAATCTCTGCTAGACTGCCCTTTCCTCTTCCTCAACAATCTCTGCTAGCCTGCCCTCTCCTCTTCCTCAACAATCTCCGCTTTTTAGGCCGGGCCTAGCGGGGCGCTTCATCCAGATCTATAGCTCCAACCCAGAATTGTCGCCAGTTGGCGCGCAGCCAACACTTTTTGAAGACACGGATCATCGGTTCAATCTACAGTACATGCCGACCATTAAAGGTATATTTAATACATGAATATTCTCTCGTGTATGCGATTTTTGGTGTAATTTAGGGTTTATTTAACCTGCTGTTCAAATTGGATCAAGTTTTGTATATTTTTGTAAGTTATGCTTCTGGAAATCATAGAAGTAATGAAAAATTGGGTTTTGTATATTATAATATGCCTTACTAAAAGAATTTTAACCGTTATTCTTTCAAGAAATAATATGAGTTAAAGTGACTCAGACGAATAGACACTTAATCACTCACTTAATCACTCAGACAAGAAAAGACTCACTTAATGCATGGCAAATATTTTGCGCTGACAACCTTTTTCCATGAAACATTTGAAATTTTTTTGCGAGTTTTTAGCATACGTTTTTAGATCAGTTTATTCGGAATTATTCAAATTCTACAATGGTGTACATTAATAGAGTAACCATTAAATTAAACAAATTATAGGATCTGAAACAGGTACTTTAAGCCGGATCTATTTTTTAGGCCCCCAGACGAGCCTGATCACCGCTGTGGACGTCGCTAATCGGGATCTCTGCGGATCGTGGCTGATAAATACGAAGGTATTTTCAGATTTATTTAAGATATTTATTTTCTATTTTCCTGAAATTTTACAAAAAATATATGTTTTGACTCTGCTCCAATATAGGAAATCTGGTATCTGGATAGGACAGTACATCAATCTCATAATACAACATTATAAAAAATGTTTTAGAAATTGGCGCTTCGCATAATTTTTTTAAATAATAAGAATAAAATTTACCGGCCCTTTGAAATTCGGTTTGAAAAAACTGGAAAAATTTTGTGAAATGCTTCCCTTAAAAATTGATGTTTCGCAAATGTAGCGTTTTCTCGTGGTAGCTAGAATATTAATATGACGAGAATATTAATATTTGTGCACATTGATCAAATTAAAATTTCGTTTTGACCTATTATCGTTTAAGATTATTATATTTAACATTATATTGTTTATCTTCATATTATTATTTTCGTATTTTCCTATTTAAACTAGTTTTTATCACTTTGTGGTAACTCCAATTCTTGCAGAGCATCGAGCCGGAGGTCACCAAGGAGTTCGAGGTGGTGCTCAGGCGCGGCGAGGAGCAGCCGATTTACAGGGTGCATTTTCAAAATCTGATTAAAAATAAATATAAATATGATCTGATACAAAAATCTATTCAGAAAATTCCCTTCCAAAACCCGTACGGCGTGGCGGCCGCGTTCCGGATCCGCGCCAATCGACCGGATGCGATTAAAGTGCAAGAAGAGGTAAAAAAGCTCAGAAAAAATGTGTTTGGTAAATTAGCCATTAAATCGTTGTTCGCTTTGCCATCAATGTCCATGGAGCATCAATTTGTTCAATAATTTGATAAAAATATTTAAAAACTGATGTATCGATATTTTGCGGAAATCTTGCGATTAATTAGCGTTTTAATTTTATTTGAATGCCAAAAGTGTCTTAATTCAGTAGCAACAATTATCGGATCCTTAAAAAAATATGATTATATTCTGTGGAACTCTGAGATTTTTTTGTTTGTATTTAAATGCCATATGTTTCGAATTGGATCAAATCCTTAAATCTTATAAACTTCTATTCTTTGCAATCTAGGAAAGGCAGATTTTTGGATAATTCTCAAACAAATTTCATATGCTTCATATTTTGATAAACATCCTTAACAAATTCGGAAATCGAACTTGACTTGACTCGAGAAACGGGTCGTTTTTATAGTATATTATTTTTATTTTTGTATATTATATTAGAAAAATTAAATTATTATTTAGCTATTTAGAATTATTTAAAAATTTATTTAAATTATTTATAAATTAAATTTGCACATTGTTTTACCTTTTAGCTGCTAAAACTTCCGCCAAACGGGATCGCCACGCTGACGCTGGAATTTTGCCGGCGCGACGTGTATACGGTAGGTTTTCAGTCATCGATTGTCCAGTAAAGCTGGCAAAAGAAACGGGCGTTACCTAATTTTTGCGGAAACATATTTTTTTATTCGCAAGTATCGTCGAAAGTTCATGCCGAAACTCTAGTTTTTTCGTTATTATATTTATTTTTTAATATTTCAAGCATTTAATTTGGTTTATAATACTAATTTTGTTTAGTTTTTTTGTATTTATCATTTAGAGTTAAAATTCACTTGATGTTGATTGATTATCCTCACCAAAACCCACAAGTTTCCTTAATTTTCGGGAAACACATATTTTTGTAAAGTTGTATGTCTTACTTTTTTTCTTTCATTAACGTAAACCATTCCAACTTAGCATTAGTTAAGGGCTTATATTTGAGACCGAGTTGAGGTTAAAAAAATATTGATGAGCTATCGATTTTGATCAATTTTTCCAGGCCCTAATCTACATCCAAAACGTTGACACTGCCCAGACCGAAGAAACGTTCCGGCTGAATGTGCGACCGGAAAAATAAAGCGTTTCAACTCGACAGTATAAAAAGAAAATGATCACTCTGATAATTACCATATCCCAAGCTGCCGCATTCAATTTCAAAAATAAGATAAACCACGCATCCAAAATAAGACGATTGAACTCGGAAAAATGTATCCCACAACGGTTTTCAAATTCTAGCATTATCAAAAATACAGTATTTAAAATTCTAATTCATTCAATTCCAATTCAAATCAAGCTTTATCAAAAACTGGAAATCGTGCGATTAGAAACAAATGTTGCAAAATTTACAGATATTGCAAACACCCCATGGTGGCGTTATTATCAAATGCCACTTCAAAAACCGACTTTTCTTCGTTACATTCCTTTTTACTAAGGATTTGTATTTTTCTAGATGCAGATTTATTGATAGGCTTTGGCTTTTCGTGGCCTACACGAACCAGCAGGGGTTGGGGCAGTCGCGGATAAACGACTGGAACGCGAGGTCGTCCACCTGAAAAAAGGGTGTTTTTTAAAGGAACGTTGAAGGCAAATATACATCGTATTACGCTTTGTTCAGGTGTCCCCAGCCGCGAATCAGATTTTTTAGCGCATTGTGGAATTGAAATCAAAGGATTCGCAAAATTTTTTTCAAAATCTGGGTTTTGGCTAGGTGGACAAGTGTTTCAAAATAGCAACTCTTTCCGACAAAAGAAACAGTGTTAGTGGTCGAAGCATAACTCCTTAGCGGAGTCATATTCTTGGTTTGTGCGAAACCATTTTCAAAACTATTCATTTTATGATATCTAAAAATGAAGAGTGTTCGAAAAGCATCGTAATAAAGTATTCGAAAAATTTTTCGTTAAACAATTTTTTTGGGGATGTGTTTCAAATTATCAACAATTTCCGACTGGTCATATTTACATTTTCTGAAAATACAATGTAGTATAAATATGTTTCAAATTCTCAGCACTTGCCGAGCGAAACCAGCGCTTTAATCTAGGAAGCATAACTCCTTAGCGGAGTCATATTCTCATTTTTGCAAAAGCATCTTAAAAACTTTGCATTTACAATATATAAAAATTAAGAGGATCCTAAAATCATTTAAAATCAAACGATCTGCAATTTTTTTTTGTACAATCTGTATTTTTGGCTACGGGACAAGTGTTTCAAATGTTCAAGACTTCCCAATGAAAGAAATAGTGTTAGTGGATGAAGCATAACTCCTTAGCGGAGTCATATTCTCAATTATTTGCAAAACCGTTTCAAAACCTACACATGTTCTAATGCCTAAAAATTAAAAAAATATGATGAGCATTGAGATAAAGAGTCGAATTTTTGTAAAATCTTAATTTTTGCGTTGGGCTCCATATGTTTCAATATCTCAGCACTGTCGGAACGAACGAATCGCTTGAATGGGAGAAGCATAACTCCTTAGCGGAGTCATTTTCTTATTTCTGGGATAAACTTATTCAAATTCTCAGGGTTGCCACTTTATAAATTCGCAAAGTCGAAATATAGGAAGTATTAAAATAGAATTACTATTTTATACAATTCATTATTTTCCTTGAGATCTACCTGGCGTTATGCTCATTTGTTTAAAATTCTCGGCACTTTCCTAGCCAAAGAAGCGCCTTAATTAGAATGTCATAACTCCTTAGCGGAGTCATATCCCGTTTTCGCCTAAACCAATCAAAAATTTTAAATGATGCCCACTGTATAATAGCTAAAAAGGAGAAATTTCAAAAGCAAGGCAATGCAATGGTCCGACAATTTTTTGTAAAATCTTAATTTTCTGGCTAGACGGAAAAGTGTTTCAAAGTATAACCAGATTCCGGGCGAAGATAGCTCTTTAATAGAAAAGCCATAACTCCTTAGCGGAGTCATATTCTTCGTTTCGTGTTAAAATAACGACAATTTTCAAGGCTTCGCACATTTTAATATCACATACAATATCCAGAGTATTGTAACAGCATTACTATTTTGTAAAATACATGATTTTTCTTTAAACTAGCTTTTCGCGATATTTTCATGTGTTTCAAAATATCAGCTTTTTTCGGAGCGAACTGAACACATTAATAAGGTGAGGTAAAGTCGTTCGCCGAGTCAGATTCTCAGTTTTGGCTAGAACCAATCAAAATAAAATTTTAGATGTTGTCGACTTTATAATATCTAAAAACGGGAAATTTCGAAAGTAGGGCGATACAATAGTTCGACAATTTTTTGTAAAATTTTAATTTTTGCCATGTGTTTCAAAATATCAGCACTTGCCGAGCGAAGCAAGTGCTTTAATCGAATTGCCATAGTTAGCGGAGTCATATTCTCAATTTTTGCCAAAGGGATACCTGCATGACGCTGGTGTAGACGGTGGCCTTGTTCAGGTTCGGCTTGCTGCTCAGCACCTGAAAAAGCGGATGTGGAGGCTTAAGCCTAAGATTTTAAGCGATAGGCTTTCAAGCCCAATTTTGGAAACTTTTAAGCCTAAAATAATTTGACACCGCTTATGATAATGGAAATCCGAGATTCCTGCCCAGATTTTATAGGAATAACAGCTCCGATTCATGAAATATTGTTATTTTAGTCTCGAAAAGTCTCTTTAACTTTTTAATTTAATTTCAATTTTTTTAAAGTTTTGCAACATTTAATCTAAAAAATTTTTTTTTGCATTTTCTGGATCTATCCTGGTTATTTCTAAGTTATTTTACATCGGCTGCTAAATGCTATGAGATGCTATTGGGTGATAGTCGGAATCTCGAAATTTCGGAATCTCGAAATTTCGGAATCTCGAAATTTGAACTCGATACCTCGAATCTCGAAATTTCCGAATCTCGAAATTTCGAACTCGAGATTGACTTCCGGAAATATAGCAGATTCCTGAAGCAAAACTACTATGTATCCAAATCTTCAGATACAAATACAAGATTTCCGATAAAACGAAAAGTAGACCCCCTCTAACTCGACGGAGAAGCGTCGGATCGGGATGATAGTCATACCATCCGAAAGCCCTTGAAACGACGAGTTGATAAACACCTTTTTTCAGAGGGTATACTCTTCGTTTTATCGGAAATCTTGTATTTGTATCTGAAAAATTTGGATACATAATAGTTTTGCTTCCAGGAATCTGCTAATATTTCCGGAATTTCGAGATTCCGCAATTTCGAGATTCCGAAATTTCGAGATTCCGAAATTTCGAGATTCCGAAATTTCGAGATTCCGAAATTTCGAGATTCCGAAATTTCGAGATTCCGACCCCTACCCGATGCTATTTTATTAGATATTCTTTCTTAGTATTAATGAATTTACCACTAGATTCAAATTAGAAAAATCTTGCAGAAAAGCAACTCATTAATCTTTGTGATCGAGGCGCCCCTGATCTATGCGTTTTTGAAATATTTTTTTCAGTAGTTGCAGTAAAATTTCCTCCGCCGCTAATTCGTTTGGACAACATGTTTATTTGTTTTACATGTAGCATTATTTTATCTTTTATTTCTTTTGTTTTTTTTATTATTTTATTGTGTTTGATATCAAATTGTCACTGTTTAAATTCGAAAAATTATGACGAAAAATGCAGAATGCAAAATGTTCGGCGTCGAGGCGCTCGTGTTCTATGCGTTTTTGCAACATTTTTCAGCACAATTTCCGCGCCGCTAATTCGTTTTGGCAAGATTTGTTACTTGTTTAAAAATGACAACTAATCGTTTCATGATATATATTTTAACTCTTATTTTCCTTTTTACCTGATAAAGCCCCTCCAGCCCAACATTTGCCCTGGTCAGCCGCTTCATACAGTCATTTCCGGGCCCGATCCGGGAGTCCAGGTAGAATTCAACCTTGTCCTAAATAAATAAAGGTATATTTAATGCTACAGGCAAATAATGATAATTTATTTATTTTATTATTTATTATACAAATTGTCTAATTTTTTAGCTTTCTGATTATTTACGATAATTTCTTAGTAAATTTTGAGTTTAGTCCATTAATCATTCTAAAAAGGTACCAAACTTTAAATGTGGTTTTTTAGTATCTTCAATGAAATCTAGAAGTGTTGGTAAGTAAGTAATAAAAGTAAATAAATAAATTCGATACCCACCCAATCGTAGTTCGTCTCCAGCACGTACCACCCGTCCGGCTTCGACGTGTCGATGCGCTGGAAAATACGAGGTTACCTTGGTTTAAAAACAAACGGTCTTTGCGTATCCTTAATTGGCTATAACGTTCATCTAGTGCCAACTAATCATGAAAAAGTAATTGATACAATCAACCGCACATAAAGCTGCTTTAAAAAATGTGTTTCGCCCCAATGTTTGGGAAATTTTTGGGGAGATTTCTTTAATCGGCGCTCTCAGGTTTCCAGAATCAATTCACTATTCTGAATGTTTAAAAAATTAGAGACAGCTAAACTACCTTAAAGGGGCTCGGAAGGCAAAATTCGGGCGTGCTAGGATTGAACCTACGGGTCAACATACAAAAGGGACACTGCCGAGCAGTATCAGAAAAGTGATTTCGTTGCGAAAAAAACGTCAGATATTTGAGAAAACCCAAAATCTTTTCTGGAGCGAAACCGACATTTTGAATGCGCGACGATTACATGTCGTAATGCGTTGTAAGGCACCCAATCTCTAGGTCTCCGTGATTCTCTGATCAAATTTCATAATTAAAAAGCCTAGAATGCCCAAAATTCGTTGAGGATTCCAAAAATATCATCAGAATTTTTAAATGCAGGTGTTTTTTCGCGTCCAAACAGGGGCAAAAGATCATGCGGCGCGGTCGCGTTGCGGCCGCCTCTGGCTATTTGCCAGGAATCAACACAGGGGGCCGTGGACCAGATTTCGGAACCCTTCGCTGTAAAAATATGTTTCGCCCCGGTGTTCTGAAACGATTATTTGAATTCGTCTAGTCCCATTACTTTGCCAACCGCTCTGAAACGAATTCAAGACGAAATCTAAATTCTAAGGAACCTAGACATAGCAAAACTCTCTTAACAGATACCACTCACCTCAATATGGTCGGTTCCATTCGGACCGCGCGTAATAATGGCGCCCTCGCCGCTCTTCCGCCCGCCCACGATGAAGTAGCCGCTGGCGAAGAGGGGCACGGTAGAGAGGTAGTCGATCGCCTATAAAAAAGCTAATATCTAAAAGGATTTAAATCCAAAATATAAAACTAACATAGAAAAGACATTTATGTGTTTCATAAAATTTTCAAGTTGCCGAAATTTTTTAAGCTCAGATTATTTAGCAGTCCCCGTACCGAATCGATTAGCTCAAAAAGTTTTAAACGTTAGAAAAATGCTAAAAATGCATATATAAAAATTAGTAAAACTTATTGCGTAATAGTATAATTAATAGATTTTTTTAAGCAAGAGCGACAGAAGGCTTAGGAAAATGCAAAAAAAGGAAAAATCACCGCACCTCATCGAAGCTGTTGGCCACCTCGAGCACCTGGCGGTCGGCCCAGATCAGCTCGATGCGCTCGTTTGCTTGCTAAATTGTTTAAAAAGAATTAATAAATAACGATTTATAAAACAATTTAAAAGAATTAGATAAAAATAATGGAATGCCTGAAAGTAAAAATTTATAAAATTGGATTTGCTTACCACAATTTACATTGAATTTCTGCCAAATTTTTTTGTTAAACACGTAAAAAAGCTGCGCTCATTAAAGGTTATCTATTAATTTGATCATGGCAAAACTATAAAACATTTTTTCAGAAAAAGCTGACCCCAGCGAACCAGGCGGCCAGGTTGTCCCAAGATTTTCCGGCTCGAGAATTCGTGGAGATCGTGAACGCGTGCGGCTTCATTCCTGGAAAATACATTAAATTCTCAAACAAAATATTAAAGTTTTTTAAAGTAACTCCCAAAAAACTTGGTTCGAAATTAAATGTTGCATGAAAATTCAGACATAGCAAGTCTTAGGAGATTTTATTAAAAAGTCGTCTTCGATTGTGTAAGTAGACTGCGAAAAATGCTGACAATAAAGGAAAGCACCAAACCCCGACAGCAATAATGCCGACAACCTTAATCCTGACAAACAAATATCGATCTGTCGGTATTTTATCTATCGGGATTTTGGCTTCTCCAGATCATACCTGTCGGCATTTTGGGTGTATATTTTGCCCGGAATTCTCACCATATGTTTTAACAAGCATGAATGTAAAAATAGACATGTTTCGGAAATATTCCAAATTAACGGAACATGAAACAAAGTTAATATACGCTGGATTGTTCTTTGAACGTTGAAGATTTGTATTCTGTGGAAAATTTCAGAAAAACTATATAAGAATGATAGGATGATATAAGATTGAATGCAAAAAGTGCTGGCATCTAAATTGTTATTTTTTGATTAATGAAAATATAAAAGCGCTGAGAAAAGTTGCGAAAAACCCACCGGTCAAAACGCCCATGTGGCCGGCAAAGGTGACGCCCTTGTACACCGTTTTCCCGCCCCGGATGTAGTTGACGTTGATCAGGATGTTCTGAAAAACTTCCGAAACTTGGGTTTTTACGTATAAAAGCATTACACTAGCTAGATCATAGTAAAAAAAGAAAAAAAAATCTATTTTTCTTAAATTCGATGCTATGTTTCAGAATCCAACCAAAAAGGGCTCGGTTAATGCGAAATTAATCGCAAAAGTTTAGTTCTTCCGAAACTCTCTGCGGTTCTTAAAAATAATGACGTTTCTTAAAGACCTTAAAATTCTGATTATTTTATGTTGTTACGTTTATTTAGCAAGCGCAGAACTCGTAAAAAATAAAAAAATAATGACTAACAAATAATTTTAGGTAAATCTGCTGTGAAATTCAATGTTTCAGAAAAACGCCATGAAAGTTCCAAAATCATCAAAGCTAATGCTTCTACGCTTCGTTCCCTATACCTTGAGCGCGATCGTCTGCTGCCACGTCTCCAGCGTGGTGTTCCAGATGAAGAACGTGCCGAAATCTTGGTTTCTCAAAAGAAAAATGTTTCAAAAATGCTTCTAAATACGAAAATTTTGCTTTTCATTAATGGGCTGGCGCTAGCGGTGGTACCTGGCATGATAAATTTTTCCGTTCGGATCCTCGGCAACGATGGAGGTGCACCCTTTCGAGATCTCGTAGAACAAGTTGAGCAGCACCAGCTTGGAGACCGGGATGTTGGCCGCGTCGGCGAAACCCTGAAATAGGCAGGCTAGCAGAGATTGTTGAGGAAGAGGAGAGGGCAGGCTAGCAGAGTTTATTCTGGAATTCGTTACCAGTATTTCAGAGCGGTAAGGCTCGGGCAAGTGGAAAACGGCATCATCCATGGAATTGAGCAAGATCTGCCAAAGCAATTCTCCCATCTCGCCAAGAAGTCCGTGCTCCCCGATGAATTGATGGACAGTCTCCAGGGTATCCAGAATCTAAAGAACCATACTTTAAAGGTACTCGGAAGGTATCTAACCCCCTGTGCCCTCGATCGAGCCACGAGTGCCCATCGCGTCTTCGGGTCCTCATCCAAATTGACCGTATACCAGGGAACGGTCTGCGAATCGGCCGGGTCGTACACGCCGGGCGTGTTCGCCATGCATACCTGAACATCGAAATCGCTCTATGAAAGTTTATCAGGCTCTTATAGCCTTGTTGTGCTATTTCCTTTAATTGATTACAAAAATATGTTTTACGATTATTAAGTCCGCTGCACCAGATGACAAACTGAATATCACTTTCTATATTTTTAGAACTGTAATTACTCTCTGAATTTAATTGCCAAACAAAGTCCCAGGAATGAATAGCTCCTAAGTTCATTCTTATATTGTTTTACTACGTTATTTGTTTTAATTCACAATATTACGTGGTTTCCCAAAAAACAGATTTGGAAAAGATGTTTTAATGTTGAACAAATTCTATTAGAGCATGACTTGGTTAATAAGATGTGTTTTCGTGCATCAAGAGCTGTAATCCTGGTCTAAATTTTCTATAGAATAAATCACAATGCATAAGGAGTTTAACAAATTGCTATAACGCTGATACGTGATTTCCCCGATCAGGAATGGAAAAGAGTATGTTTCAGTATTAAGCCAATTTCTTTCACAAGATGCTCAAATCAATCTGAGGCGTGACTTGTTGGACTGTAAAAGCCGCCAAAAATATTTGAAAAATGCCGCCAACAAGTAAACTTCAATTTTAATAAGCTGCCGTAACCTTATAACGCGGCTGCCTCGGCATCTCATTTAGAAAAAGAAGGTTTCACTATCGAAGAAGTCTTCCTGACAGTGTTAGCAAATTAATGCGCGAGTGCCGATCAGTGGAACTGTAAAAACTGCTCTATCACGTCGATAAGTGACTTCGCAGAATCAGATTTGAAAAAATGTTTGGTATAAACAAGTTTATTCGCAGTATGACCAAATTTAATATCGTTTCTCTAATGTTTTTGCTTAAACTTTTCCTGAACTCTCTCTCTTGCTCTCTCTCTCTCCAACTCTCTCGCTATCGCTCTCTCTCACTCTCTCTCTCTCTCTCTCTCTCTCTTTTTCCCTCTCGCTCCTTCTCCCTCTCGCTCGCTTTCTCTCTCACTCACTCGCACTCTCTCCCTCTCTCTCTCTCACTCGCTCCCTGTCTCCCTGTCTCTCTCTCTGTCTCTCTCTCTCTGTCTCTCTCTCATTCTCTCTCTCCCTCTCACTCACTCTCTCTCTCACTCTCGCTCTCGCTCTCTCTTTCCCCTGGCAGCACGTCTTATGTTGTTAGTTTGTTTGTTTAGTAAAACCACACCCACCTCACCGTACACTCCCCACGGGTCGGGGGTCGGATCGGCTAGCGACACCGCGAATAACCCAAGAAATCCCAGAAAAACCAGCATTCCGCGTGGTGTCAACAGGTGTCGAGCGGAAAGTATGGAATTCCTGGGGCCAAACAGAATCTCGGTAGCCCACGGATTCTCATCGGATTTTATCTAAATCCGCTTCACCCCAACGAGCAGCTGGGGGCTGATAACGGCGGCGCGAAACTGACGAGTTGAGCACACTTTTTTCTTCTTGCTCTTGCCGATCTTTGGGCGACTGGAAACTAGAAATGATACGGGTTGCGAAACACTAGAAAAAGCAGAATTTTAATTTTTATATGTTTTCGAAACATTTTGTCTATTCCCTAGAAAATTTCGAGAAAATACTCTTTTACAAAAATCACGCAGACGATCACAAACTGAATTAATTTTTTTCCAATTTTTCGGTTTTTAAGGCGCTATGAAACATTGTTTTTCGACATATTCGTAAAGATATCCATATTTTTCGGAGCGTATTTTGCGTTTTTCGAGCCCAGAAATTGATCCCGTGGCGTTTTTTTATAATCATAATCTATTCGCACGATTTGGAGCACAACCTCATTTTGAAGCCTTGAAAACACGATAAAAAATCGAATAAAAAAAGATAAAAATAAGAGTGAAAACAATAAAAAATCCTGAGCACATATAATATCACATAGCACCAATGGAAATTCAGCAAAACGTATAATTAACGAAAAACAAATGGAATAACGTAGTTAGACGGTGAAAGATCACGGGCGAGGGGAATGGCGAGAAGTAATTGGTACACCTATTATTGCTCAATTATTTAATTTTAATTTAAATGATAAGGAGTATTTTTGGAATATATAAATTTTAAAAATAAAGGGCTTTTTTTCTTCTTATTGGCAAGTTAAATCCTGGCAAAGTCGCTCCTGGTGCTGTTTTATTTCGTCATCACACGACGATGGGCGATGCGCATCACTAAAAAATTTGAAGTTTTATTTAAAAACAAAATAAATGTGCTTGTGATGTACGAATCGTCCGACAGCTTAAAATTATAATAATTCAATATAATAAGTAATGACGCTAAACATATTAGAATTACAACAAAAGGGCATATATATTTCCGACAATATGTTTCGTCAATAATTTAGCATGAAGTAGACTTTTGGGAACTAATAGGCGATACAATTCTTCCGACGCTAAAATTGATTTATTTTAAATTTCCTGGCTTTAAACCAGCTTAGGTTTTAATTAAGTGTATATTTAATTAAGTTTTACTAAACATGCCAAAAACACAGAAAAAGCAAAGGCTAATTGCTGAGAATATGTTTCGTTCAAGATTTAAGCCAAGATATGGTTTTCCGTAAACAATTCACAGCATCCTTAGATCGGAAAAATAATTTATTTCAAGCCAGCTGGCTTAATCCAGTTTAATTTCGAATTAAATACAGCTAGAGATCATTTAGTAACAAATGGTCTTGCTGCTGACTTTATTAAGATTATTTATTATTATTTAAATAAGCCTGGAAGCACAATAAAATAGTTGAAACACGATATTTTAACCCATGGCCTTTGGAAAATGCAGTGTTTTCTAGGGTGTAAATCAATTTGCTTTTTCTCAGTAATTGATTGCCAATCAATTTATATTAATTCCTGTATATTATAATTTTTAACATACCTCCGCATTTCGCCATTTTCCTCAAAGATATCCGACGGCCGTCGGCTTCGCTTCGGGATGCAAACGCTAAAAAAGCGATATTTCAGAACCATTTTGTAAAAAAAACATGTTTCACGCCACACCCTAGCTCACTCAGAAATTTGTCTCAGGATTTTCCTCTGTTCTCTATTTTTCGATTCAAACCCAGCTTACCTTTTTTTAATAGATAGATCTCGATAATCTAATTTTTAAATGAAGTAACTATAAAAACAAATTTCGAATTTTTCCCAAAAACTTTTATGATTTTTTTATCATATTTTTGTACCTCAAGACTTTGTAAAATGCTAAACTGAATTCGTGGGGTCTGTACTCTGGCTTCATGGAAAATTAGATTGCCCCCCCCGCTAACAGCCCAGTACCAATTTGCGTCCTAGCACGTTCCCTTTAAATTTGTCAATTCCGCTGCCTGGTTATTTTTTTTTGGTATTATAAGTACCGTTTCCGCTTCTGCATTCCGCAATCGCACTGCGACCAATCGGACCATCTGCTCCACTTCCATTTGACTACAAAGAAAATGGATGTTTTGAATCATTTAAACTACTAGGAGACCTGTTTCCATGTAATTGCATGTGCGCGCGACTTGTTGCCTTATAAAAAAATCATTATACTAATTTACTTAATTTATTTTTAATTATATTAAAAGTATATTTTATATAATTAAAAAAGTATTAAAATTACGTCCTTACTTATAACACCCTGCTGCTCATCGTTCGATTCGGTGGGCGGGGCCCAGCGGTTGACGTGCTGAAATTGCGGGGACAATGGCGATTTGATGAAACATTAAATTTGTTCTTACTTGTTAAATTTATTTTTAAGATTTTAAGCTATTTTCTGAGGTTAAATATGGTTGTTATAATTATATTACTATAAAAATCTCAGACAAAATCCAGATGAATCAAAAATTGATGCTCACTTTTGTGTCGTCGCCGATGAGGCTGTCGAGTTTCTCGGCGGCGTGCTCCTAAAAATAACAAAATTAGCATATCGCTGAGCTTGAGGTCGATTTTAAATATAGCGAATTTCAGAGAATTATAAGCGTGAGTACTTAATACTACTAAAAAAATCCGCAAAATTTGGGAAGATTACCATTTCTTTCAGGTCGAGCGGGGCATCGGAGAGTGATGTTCTGCTGCCGAAGGCCTGGAAAAAGCATTAAAGTAGCGTGATTTTCAGTGATATCTGGAACCTTAAACTCTATGATTAGTAAAAATATTTAGATTTTAATAAGCGTCTTGAATATATCTTGTTTGGATAATAAAATAATTGTGATGGCTCTCGATTTTTTATTTTCCCAGCATACTTCCCAAAATTAATTTCCCATTTTTTTCTGAAACCCACTTTTTCAACGCGACTGTTTGGCGGGTTGTTGAAAATCTGGGCGTCGATTCGCTGCGGCGAGACGAACTCGACGTTTACGGTATCGGACACGATCTGGAATACGGTATTTTAAAGGTTAAAAACCATAATATTAAATTTCATAGTTTTTAATGATATTTTCTACCTTTTTCGAGTCGGGCTTCCGAACGGCCGTCGGTGGCTTATCCTTCTTGTCGTCTTTTACCACCTAAATATGAAAAAAAATTGTTGGCTTAATCTTGCTTTTGTTTTATGTTTTTATAACCGATTTTTGGGGACCTACTCAACATGCAAATTATTAAGGGTGCGGAAAAACTCATGTAAAAATTAGATATCAGTCGTACATGATCGTCCAGTAATATCCCCAAAAATACCCTGTTTAGCCAAATTTTAATGTAACATATTTTTTTGTAAATATGAAAAGCTAATGTAAATAAACGCTTAATTACGCTCTATAATATCCTTTTCTGAATTGTTGAAGATTTCAAAATTAAAATAAATCCTATTAAAAAACGTATCGTTAATACAGTAAGATCTACCTCCAGCGGAATAATGTCGACAATCGGCAGCTCGTGTCCGCTCAATTCCCGCGTCATATTGGCGATCATCCACGAGAGGGCGCGAGCCGTGTCTCCCTCCACGAATGGCTAAAAAATAGAAAGTTTCAGATTTTGACACAAACCCAAAAAATTTGGAAATCGCTATTGATCTCGACTTTGCGATTGCCATTTTTATTTTTATTTATAGTTTTTCTATTTTTATTATACATACCAGCGCCCAAAACCCGCTTCGCGGGCCTTGGGCGCTGGAATGCGGCCCTTGCATGAGAAATTGACTTTCCGATAGCTTGGGTCCTTCGGACCCCCCCCCTGAACCGACCACACACGCGAGCGCAACTCGCAAGAATGAGGAAATTTCTATTTTTCACATTATGCAAATTAGCCTTCAGGGACCCCTAAAAATGAATAAAACCGACTTTAACTTTGTAAACTTGTATTTTATCGTAATTCTAAGAACGCCATCGGAAACAGGAGGGTCGATTCCCCCCAGTGACGAAGAATTGGGGCGTTTTGGGCACGGGAAGGCCCTCAAATCGGGTCTCAAAACTGACATCCACACACACACACAAAGATACGCGACCAAATTATATAAGGTAGGATTTATATATGATTTATTATTTTATTTTTATTTTTATTAATTTTATCTATATTTATTACTGATTTGATTATTAATTTCTAAAAACCCTACCCCACTATCGACACCCTTCTGCAGTGCCTCATCGTCGGTAGGCTTGTGCATCTGAAAAATTTAATGTCTTTAATGAATTTCACAAAATAATTGAATTTAAAAATTAAATAAACCGGTAAAACATTAAAATCACGGCGCTGTATCTATTCTCTATATTTTCATATTTTAAGTTTAGATTTTACAATCTCAGGATTTAATGGTAAACTCAATCCTATGATACTAGTTCTAAAGCAATAGCTTGATGCCCATTACTTCAAAGCAAAAATTTTTGATCGTCTGGGTGAGATGAAACATGCACTTTTTCGCGTTTTTTCTTTTTTTTTATGCAGCGACTTTTTATGAATAAACTGACCACATAGATTAAGTCTGACCGCATTAAAATTAAACTACTAAATGGGAAGTTTATTATTTGGTTCTTTAGCATTATCGGGGGGGGGAACACATAGTAAGCGTTGGAATAGTGTTTTTAAAAGATTGTAACGATATTTCCGCCGGAAAACCATCTAAAAAATTATGAAAATTCTTTTAAACTAAATTATTAATGAATTAAGGTACCTATTATTTTTTAATTAAATGTGTATTCAATCTACCTGTTTCTGGACGAGCTTCAGCTTCTCCTCCAGCGTCCGGGTTTCCATATAAATGCGCCTCTCGTGCGGGCTCATCTTCTCCAGGTCGGGGCTCTCCCACGAGTCCTGGCGTTGCATTTTCTGTAATTAAGTTATATTTATATCGTTGTGAGCGTATAAAAATGTGTTTCGAAAATGGATTACATGTTAAAAAATATGAATAAATTAATCAAATAGTTACCAATTTAAAGAATCGATCAGCTTTCGTTATAATCCTATCTCAACAAATTATTTACCTTAGCGTCAAATTCCATCTGCTGTAAGAGACCTCGAATTTTGTGCATCGTGTGGTTGATGGAGCGGGCACCGGCGTCAGATAAAACTGGTGTTTCATCCTCGGTTTCCTATTAAAATCTATTAAAAAAGGTAATCCAGGAAGCGAGGCACACGCCTACAAAAATAAATCAATACAACGAATTTTCCATAAATTTTGTGGTCACGAATCCAAAGAATTGATAACACTAAAATCATTTTCACGATAACTCGAAAAATGGAAATGTTTCATTTTAGTCGCCAGGAATTAAAATCCCTCACCGTTTTTTTAACTCGTTGCGATGTAAAATCGACTAAACTACCTAATTTAATCAGAGATTTTTTAGAAAAATTAAATAATTTTGTTAAAAATAGCAGGGCAAAAACCGGTGAATTGTTAACAAAAAAACCGATTAAAATGCTAATTTGCAAAATTGAAACATTTTATTTTTACGAAAAATCGAAACGGATCCAGAAGCGTGTTTTAAACGCCTGATCGTATACCTCATACCTCAAATTAAGTGGATTCAATTAGAAGATTTTGCAAAAATCGATTAGATACTAGGTTTTCCATTTCCTTTTTTATATTTTTTTTTGCGCCGCAACGACTGCGAACTAGTAAGAATGTAGGGTATTTTTACAATCACTTCCAGAAACGAAACAGCTTTTTTAGTGCCTTTGTAAGCTTATTAAACACGATAAAAATCTAATATTCGTACCGTTTTCCCGGGCTCCCGCCGCGTCAGCATCACCGAAACGACGCCGCGTTGTTTCTAAACTTGAGAAATAGGCTTTAAACAGGAAAGTTTTACAGTAAGCGTTTTTATGGTAAAGTTTAGTTTTGTAGGAACATCGTCACATTAAATGGTTTAAATAGCTCTACCTGACCGTATGGATCTACTGTCTATTGCACATTCATATATTTTTCGCGACTAACGTTTTTGCCGAAACTCATTTTTTACCAAGTCAGAAAAACTCACCGCACCGCCAGCGTCGTTCCCAACCGGCGGCACAAAGTTGAAGACCGTCTTTTGGAGCGGAACGGATGGTTTTCTAAATAGGAAAACAATCGAAAAATATCTACCGTATCAAATCACCATCATAAATGAATTGAAACGAATTTGAACCCGCTTAAAAAAATTCTAGCATGGACGGTGATTCTAACCCTAACACGATAGATTTCACAACCTTTAAAAAAAATGCTTCAAAAATGTTCCATTTTCGGATTCGATACTGAAAGCTAATGAGCGAATCAATCATTTTTCCTTCTACCAAATCGCAAAACACCGTTCCATTTTCGCTTAGGCCGGGTGTACAACGACTGCGAAATAGTTTGAAAAGCCACTTAAATTCTGAAACATGAAGATTCAAATTCTCGTGGTAGTAAAAGTGCTACTAACCGATACTGAGAGCCAACAAATTGGGTGTGATACGTCGGCTTGGCGGCCGGGGCGACAGAGTGGTGGAACTGAAATTATTTAAAAAAGGTAAAACATGACTATCAGGCTGTCGGAAAGTCCTTGCGGTTTTTCCTTTCGGACTTCTTGAGAAATCCTGTTGATCCAAGAGCTAGACGTAATATATGATTTGGAAGTACTTTTGATACTCTACACAGTGGCGAAGCTGATCTTGTCTAAAAACATTTTTATGATTTTTAACAGGGCTTGAAAGTCGGGACCTAAATTAACCGATTTTCTTTCTTTGTTAAAAACTCCCCCTAATAACCGGCTTGCAAACTTTTTGAAACTAGTATTCGGCTGAGCTCGTCAAGCGCTACAAAACGCGTCGTAAAAGTTTTGTTTGAAAAATTACTCTGGGGAGGTGCAACTTGTCAAAATTGGATCGGTCGTTTGATGGGGTTTTGGCCGACGAAGAGGCCCTCACTAAAAAGCGCATCACACATCGATTAGAAGCATCCCAAAACTAGTATTAGGCGCCTAAATACCAATTAATAGTAACTAAACTTTCAAAGTTAATACTCTTTTCAGCTCTACCGGAGTGGACACAGCTATATAGTAGTACATTCGAGAAAGTCAGCATCTCGAGGTCAGCCAAATTTTGACAAGTTGCACCTCCCCAGAGTAATTTTTCAAACAAAACTTTTACGACGCGTTTTGTAGCGCTTGACGAGCTCAGCCGAATACTAGTTTCAAAAAGTTTGCAAGCCGGTTATTAGGGGGAGTTTTTAACAAAGAAAGAAAATCGGTTAATTTAGGTCCCGACTTTCAAGCCCTGTTAAAAATCATAAAAATGTTTTTAGACAAGATCAGCTTCGCCACTGTGTAGAGTATCAAAAGTACTTCCAAATCATATATTACGTCTAGCTCTTGGATCAACAGGGATTTCAAAAGAATGTCCGAAAGGAAAAACCGCAAGGACTTTCCGGACAGCCTGATATTTACTAGATAAAATTTCTATAATCATTAACTAAGGTTAAAGAGTTTAAAACCTCAAGTTTTTTTAGTTTATTTTAAATTTGGAAAATGGAGCTTGAAAAATTACTCTATTTTTTAGTAAATTTAGTATTTTAACAATGTTCTCCAAATAGGGCACAATTTTGCTTGAAAACTGTTGAAGCCCAGATTTGAATCCTGTATTAAATGGCTGATTTTCACCGGCGAGCATAAATAACTTGAAACATACCGTTCGCACGAATGCCGCAGCGGCGTTGGAATTGTGGCGTAGTTGCGGGATTTCGTCATCTAAATTAGCATAATCAACTGCTTGCGATACATTCTATTTTTATTTGTTTTCGTTAGATCGATTTCTCTACGATGGAAAAATTGTTGTTCAGCAAAATTCTTAATTCAACATTACCACGCTCATCCAAAGATGCTATTCTCTCGTCCAGCTCTTGTAAATCGCCACGGCTCATCACCGGGATGTGGGTGGCTGCAAAAACTTTTTAACCTAAGCCTAAGCGAAGCCTAAGCCTAAAACTAAGCCCAAGCCTAAGCGCAAACCTACGTCGTTGCGGACGTGGCGTCGTGGTGGGCCGTGTTGTAGTGGTAGTAGTTGTCGTAGTAGTTGTAGTCGTAGTGGTCGTGGTAGTGGTTGTAGTCGTTGTTGTACTGCTCGAAGTCGGCGGCTGCCCTGGGGGTTGTCCCTCGTAGTCGTCCTCGTACTCCCCCTCGCCCTCCTCGCCCTCTTGCTCTTCATAGGCAGGGGACGTCGGCTAAGGATGTTTTGGTCGTTAGAAATCAAGCTAATTTTTTTGAACAAAATTTTTCGCCGCTATATGCATAACTTTCTCGACGAATCTTAAAAATGTTTCATGATAAAAGAACACCAATCCGGAGCCTAGTAGGCTTAATTCTGTCCCATAGATCCGTTTTTAATATTGATGTTTCTTATTAAAAATACTTTCGAAACATAATTCACGATCATTCTTTACAACCCTAGTGAATTAAACAAAAACCAGACAGCTAGAAAAATCCATAAATCCAAAAGCCTACCTCTACAGTAGCGGGCCGATTGGGCATTCGGGTTGGCGCGTAGCGCACTGGGCCTCGGGCTATAAAAATGTGTTAAAAATATTGAAAACATCTAAAAAAGGATTAGTAAACTAAACAAAAATCGCCAAATTGAATTTTAAAACCTTTTTAAAGTTTATGAAACAAAAAATGCTAGAAAATTTGACGTACCCTGATTCCGCCGCAGCAATTCGATCTCCTCTTGCTCGGTGAGCGTGGGCTGCGGCTCGCCCTGGATTGAAAACTTATGAAAGTATGAGAATCGCACGATTTGTATGCATTCTCTTTCTGTCTCTCTCTCTCTCTCTCTCTCTCTATCTCTCTCTATCGTTTTCCTCCTTCTCCTTACCTTCAAGTGAGCAGCTGGGAGTGGTGGTGGCTGTGGCCGAGGAACTGGTTGCTAAATCGAGATTTACAGTTTAAATGAATCTACTTTATTAAATTTTAATTCAATTTAATTAAATAATTAATTTAATTTACAATTCCAAAAATGTGCTTTAAAAAATTTTGAGTTTCTGAACTTTCCGTTACCAATAATTGCATGAACACATATAGGAAATCATAAAATCGATAATCCTACCTTGCCCGGTCCTTTAAAACATGAATTCAAGCTTACAAGTGCCGGCTCGACATCAGCCGTCATGTCCACGAATGGCACCCGGGTGGCCCCGTTTTCCAGAAGAATGTTCTTCTTCGGCGTGGGAATTGCGGGTCGGGTCTTTATGACTAAAATACATCCATAAAAACCTATTTAAAACGCCAAGTTAAAATTAAACATTGAAGAGTTGTAGAACACATATTTTCTAAACGCTTCGGGTCGAAGAACAAAAATATTTTTAGGAAATTAGTGTTTCTGGAAAATGCCTAAGAAATACAGCCGTCAATTAGTAATCCACGCTGTGCCCTTGCTGCTAAATTTTTAATTTGCAGGGTTTAAATACGCGACGATGGTCCTAAGACAATTTGAAGCAATTGAAAATTTAAATTTACTTTAACTTTCAAATAAAATTAAGTGGTTCGGAAAAATTATGTGTTTCAGCAAAAATTTATCATCAAGATTCTCATGGTGTGGAATTCTCTAGCCGCTTTAAGTTAAAATAATATTAATAAAAATCTAGAAAGTTAAATTTCGAATACGGTGTATTAAAACTATAGGAGCAAAAACTACTTAAAAAAAGTATCCGGACAACAACCAGAATTCATATAAAAAAAAAATTTTGACTATGAGAATTTTTAGTTTGTTGATTTGTCATAAAAAAAACATAGAACTCCAAGCATTTAATTTTTAATAGCTTGTAAAAAAAATCAGAAGAATATATAAGAAGGGGCCCAGTAAATATGAGTTTCAAAAAACTAGTCAACCTAGTCAAAAAAAAAATAAAAAATTTACGTGCAAAATATGAGATTCAGCAAAAATTCATTTTCAAAACTTTTTGAGACCCGGAATTCTGTATCGAAATCGTTCCCGTGTAAAAAAAAAGATAAAAAGATCAGTTCTATTCAAATAATTGAATCATATTTTTTCATTAGCTTTAATTTACCTTACTCACCTTTCTGATATTGCGCCTTGATCTTGGGCTGCTTCTCGTGGTCGTTGGCTAGCTGCGACATGGCGATTTTTCGGTCCTCCGAGTAAGGGTCGTCGAAACTGGAGTAAACTTATACTAAGAGCTTAAAATTAGTTTTATATTTTAATTAAATCAACCAACTGCTAAATTTAAAGCTAAAAATACGATTTTTAAAAAAGTTAAATTATAACATTACTTACCCCTCATAATCGGGCGCTTTCGGCGTCTCGGTCGGCGCATTTGTGTCGCACGATTCGAATTCCTAAAGCAGGTTCGTTAGATTTTTGAAATAGTGGTTTTAATAGCTACCCTTTTTAATGATGGACTTAAAAATAAATGAAAGATTATGCATTTCAAATTCATAATTTACGCAATTTTTGAATCGGTGCAAGTTTATGTTTCAGAATATTGAAAACGCCGGTTTACTTCGACAACAATAATATATTCCGTTCGCTTTGGTAAAGCTACGTTTTAATTTTAATTAAACTAACTACTAATTAAACGGAGCGAAGCTTTTAAGTTGTCAAATTTTTAAAATGCTTTGAAATCTGCACTGCCGATTCAATTTCTAAAATTTTCTTGGATCCATGTAAAATTTGCGTGCTTCAGAAATTTCTTCCTAGCGAGAGATCCTGATGTTGTTAATTTAGGACCCTTCCATAAGATTAAAAAAATGCCAATTTCATGAAAAAATTTACTTAATATACCTTATTATGGCCGATGCATTTGAATCCGCGGACCGTGCTGCAGGCACGGACGCGGACGCGCACATTAGCGGAACAGAACGACCATGGGGACCACTGGGACCACTCGGAACTCATCACTGGAAAGGGGCTGGCTAGCAGAGATTGTTGAGGAAGAGGAGAGGGCAGGCTAGCAGAGATTGTTGAGGAAGAGGAGAGGGCAGGCTAGCAGAGATTGTTGAGGAAGATGAGAGGGCAGGCTAGCAGAGATTGTTGAGGAAGAGGACAGGGCAGGGTAGCAGAGATTGTTGAGGAAGAGGAGAGGGCAGGCTAGCAGAGATTGTTGAGGAAGAGGAGAGGGCAGGCTAGCAGAGATTGTTGAGGAAGAGGACAGGGCAGGCTAGCAGAGATTGTTGAGGAAGAGGAGAGGGCAGGCTAGCAGAGATTGTTGAGGAAGAGGACAGGGCAGGCTAGCAGAGATTGTTGAGGAAAATGCGACAGTAATATAATAATACTTACTGTACAATAATTCCACATTTTGCGGCATCGCCTCTATGGCCGCATTGAAGAGCAGTAAAATGAGTATAGACCGCATCCTAAAATGAATTTTTGTGTTTCATAATTATAACGCCATTGTGGAGAAATATGAAATACAGTAACGTTCGCATGGACTACCGGAAAAATTCACCAGATTTAAGCGAATCTGTGTTAAATGACGTAACAGGTCAAAGATCGACCGAATTTCCTTTTTATCACGCTAACGACGAAATATAAAATTATAGATTGTTCCAAATTTTGTGAATGATGAAAAAGCAATTCCGGCGTGATTTAGAAAAACATGTTTCTTATGGTTAAGGCGTGTTGCGGAAGTTTTAACAAGCAATCAGTACTAGTTGGCTGTTGTAAAACATGAAGTTAGGATAGCACGATCGTGTTTTCAAGCAAATAAAATTAGCTAAAAAATATATAATTAATGTTCTAAATATAAAATATGACCGGAATTCCGGGTTCAGAAAAAAAAACGATTTGGCGCGTATCTACCACCCGGGATCGGTCATTTTTTGGGGTCGTTTGGTTGGGTAGGGAGAGCTGAGCAGGAGCTTTCCCCTATAGTGATAGAGAGAGAGAGAGAGAGAGGAGAGACAGAGGGAGCGATGCGAAAGCCTGATTGACCCAAATCGGCCGCCTTGGAATTGAATTCGCTGATCCATTCAGCAATTGCAGAAAATTTCTACTGCCAAGTGAAAGTATGCCAAAGATTTGTCATTTTTCAAAAAAAAACACAACAATATACTACATGATTAACGTCCTCAAGGAAATTCAGCAAACTTTGTTTGAAAACCCAAAAATCGTGCTTAAGAGTTTTGCAAAAGTTGCTGCACGTTGCTGCTCAATTTTGTTGATGTTGATGGGTAAGGAACCATAACTTTCTCTAACTACAACGAACTGTAATTAATAAGGATTCACAAACTAAACAGCAAGCGAAAATCTAACTGCATGCGCGGAACGCACAGCTCGATAGGGAATCGATGGGTGATAGAATATATAAACCTGCTTTGACAGTCCCTTTAAAGCCAAAAATTGAGATACGAAAAACGAATGTTTCGAAAATGTCTTAGCCCAATTTTTTTCGTGGTGGCTGGAATTGACAGTGATATACCTCAAAGATTTCATACCACAGGGTATCCAAAACCGTCGAATGTTAAAGTTTTTTGTTTATTTTCAAAGATGTTTCGCAAAAGTCGGAGTGCAAAAATAACCAACGGGATTTTAAAAATACCGTGCCCAGATCTTCCATAATGAACTAACAATTTGATTTGATTAAATTTCGAGGCTACAAAAATATAGAAAAATCACATCCAATAGCTCTCAAAATCATTCTTAAAACTACATAAAGTATCGATACTTAACAAATAGGTATTCCTACCTTGCCCATCCCTTTAAAACGTTCGAAAACTAAAAATTGGGGTGGGATGGAATGATTGTTTCGGAAATGTTTTAGGTCAAAATTTTAAACGCAGTGTACAGAAAAAAGGTTGTTTAAGATAAAATTCCTTTTTTCTAAAACAAAGTTTCGTAAAAGTTACGTTTTAAAAATGTCCAAGGCAGTTTCAATAGGCCGTCACTTGTGCTTGTCTTTTTTAATAAATAAAATAGATTTCGAATCGATAGAAAATATACGAAAATTACGGTCAAAGGCATCGGTGAAGCAGCCGACGCGCTAATTGATGACCCTAGCTAAAATTGGGTGGGGGCGCCGTTTTTTTCCAGGGCATTAGGCCAAGGACGTTTTCCCCCCGGGTGAAGAAACCGCCGCCAGAGGGCCGTGGAATTTATTGATGGTTTTGCGCCGTCAATTTGAAGAAAAAAGAGTTAAATATGCGTAAAACTCTGAAATAAATATAAATCTATCAATTTCAAAGTCCCAAATAAACCCTGTAAAAAATCAGAGTTTTTAAAAAAATGTTTCATAATAAAACAAAAAGTCGAAAATGCTGACCCGGATAATTCAACGCAGGAAAAACACTGGAACGAAAAATGTTGAAACGTTTGATTTTAAACACTGTAACTTAAATTAAATTAATTTGGAAAAAATAGTGAATAGATTTGAGGTCACTTGAAGGAACTCTTGAACGAAATATAATGCAAAATTCTAATTGAAATTCTAGAATTCCGTTACAAGCCAAAACTCCAGCTAGGAATTATCATGTAAATCCGCATAAATTGCGTAATTAGAAAGAACTGCTTTAAACAAAATTACAATAAATATCGCAATTCGCAAGTCCAAAATCCCGCTTAAAATTCGAGATTCCGGATTCCACGTCTGAACAAGGAACGGATCGTCCTCGCGTGGATCGTTTCCTATTTGGAGGGCCGGTTGGGTATCGGGTGGCTCTATCCGGTTTATTAGCCCTCTCTCGGCTCTCGATCCGCCCCTGAAATCATCTGCATCATCAAATTGCACGCGGCGTATTAATTTTGGACTCTCGATTTCGGAGAGAGCGTGTGAGAGAGTGAAAGAGAGAGAGAGAGAGAAAGAGAGTGAAAGAGAGAGAACGAGAGCGAGAGAGAGAGCGTAAAGGAGCGAGAGAGAGAGAGTTTAACATCTGCGAATTTGAAAGTTTTGCACATGCACATTTCAGAAATGATGTTTCATCTTTTGAAAGTCATGGACGTCGGATTCTGCTTTTAATCGCTTGACCGTGGATATATCTAATGCATCAAATTATGCTGATATAAAAACTCAAACATTTTAATTTCCCGCTAAAAAGGAATTTGCCATTTTTTTAAACAATCTTTTTAGTGGATTCGTCTACTCTGTAGTAGTAAATGCATATGCCGTGCATTTATAGCTAGCGGACGGTCTGCCTCAACATCTTTATTAGGAGCACGTGATGGGTTTCGTGATCCGTCGTTCCGAAAAGCAAAAAAAATATGTTTCGCCTTTTCCAAAATATCAGAAAGTCTCGATTTTAGCAATTTCCTGCAATCGTCTTTCAATATTTTACGGGAACCATGCTTCATAAACTTTTTTGCAAAATAAATGTTGCATCTTTAAAACAAACTACGGATCACGAAATTTTCATTATTTGTTTAACCAGCTTTTTCTAAAATTAATTTGCAATTTCACTTCAATTAACTAGCATTTGCTGTTTGATCTAGAAAAAACCCCACATCATTGTACCGGGGTTTCTTAGCAAAATAACGCATAATAATGGCTTTAAGAAAAGTAATGACAGGCTTTTCCTGCGGATAATGAGGGCCGAAATTTGGAGCGTCGCGTAGCGGGCAATTAGCTGGATCTCTTATGCTGTCTGGGATACGGTATGCCATTCAAAGCGTTTTTATCGATATTAAAACGTGGACCATATTTGCGAGTTTCAGAATAACTGATGATTTTTGGCCAGATACTGGGATTTTATTCTGTTGACAAGACGTGCTTGTTTAAATTGGCAGAAAAACGCTTCTTTGAAGGCGTAACATTTTCTAAACATCAATTTATGGGACGCAACCATGACTATAATCGACCGCTCATTTTCATTTTTTCATGAGTTATTTTGTCGCAATATAATTTTTTCGAACATCACTTTGTAGAAATTACATTTTATCGAAATTTCATTTGGTCGAAATTTCATTTTGTAGAAATTTCATTTTGTCGAAATTTCATTTTGTCGAAATTTCATTTTGTAGAAATTCCATTTTGTCGAAATACCATTGGCCAAATTTCAATGCGCAGTAATTTGGCTTGCGAAATTGGCCATGCTTAATCGACGACCGAACAACATCAAATTAATAAGGTAAAAAGCCTTTGCGGCGCCTTAATGGTTGAAACACGAATTTTCCGCACTTTAAGACTTGACAACTTTTCTATTCTGGCCTCTTCGCAGATTCTAAAACATGGGTTTTAATCAGCAAAAAATTCTGCATAAAATGCGCGCGCTCCTAACTTAAAACAGAATTTTTCAAAATTTAAAAGTACAGTACCTCTCCAAACCCCGGGACAGCACATTTACTTATCTTGCGGAAACGCAGCGGATGCCTAATCTCTAAAAAAAACATTGTTTTTGGCGATACCTGGCCGCGGGGGGCTGATTTAACTTAAGCTGCCCGCAAGCGCATTAATTGGGGCGGATTAAGCGGCGGCCGTCAGGCGGCGTAGCCTAGCGGAACACCCGGCTTTCCGGATTTGCCCGGGGTACGGTAATGGTTTAAATAGCTGGGGCAGAGCCAAGATTCAGTGCATCATTTTTTAGTTCGCAGGATTTACCGAGTGCCCGCCATAAAAAGGTCAAGCCAGCATTTGGCCATTCCGGGGTCGGATCAACCTGAAATTTTGTCCAGCTGAGTAGGAGCGGATTTAAAAATGTTCACTGAAACTTTCTTCTCGCCAGCTACAGTAGGTTTCGAGTCTTTGTAGACATCCTGTCTTTCCAAAAATTTTTGTTTCATTTTCGAAGTGTTCTCAAGCGCTCACTAGCTTAATACCGGTGATTAGCAAAATCATTCTAAAATAAAACATACTTTTTAAATAAATTTCGAAATCATGTTATAAAATTATTGAACGTTTGACGTTTTTTCATCAGATTTTATCCCGTTTTTTATTAACAAAACCCATAAGAAAATTGTAAAATTTCCGACATCATTTGTTTTGTAGATAAAAAGTATGAAAAATGATAAAACATGCGAATTACCAAATTTTTACAATCTTAAAATGTTTTCTAAGTGAGGACAATCAAAAACTATTAAATAATATAGAAATACGTGATTGATTATTCACGATGCGTAAAAGGAAAAGTAAAAATTAGCCCCGCCCCCCTCCCCCCTGATAAGATAAAACACCTCTAAAAGTAGCATCAGAGAATGTAGACGGTAGACTTAGTGCAAATTAACGACGAAAAATTTCGGAAAAGTGTTTCATTTTTGAAACATTTACCAAAAACAATTTTCTTAGCTAGTAAAATCCCCTAAAATTTTTTGGCAAAACACTTCCGGTGCCTGCTCTGGCTATCAAATTTTGAACACCGTGTCGGGCGTCAGCTTTTTTCTTCAGGGTAAAATGATTAGCCGAACCGACCTTGATCACATTTACAACCACGTGTAGATAACGAAAAGCTGGGCTTTTAATTTCGGGGGTCGCGTGGCAGGGTCAGTCTATAATGTTGTAAAAATGTTATAAAATAAATTTTGGTTTTAAAAAGTGACTAAAAATATATATAAATATATATAAAATAGTTAACCAAAGCACTAAATTACAGCTTTTTCTCGAAACATACCGCCAAACAAAACAGAGATTCAATTAATTCAAAAATTCAGCGCTCAATAAATCTAATTTTTAGAAACATTTTTATTTTATAAATGCTACAATTATTTTTATTATTCATATTTCTGTGTAATTCTACAATCCTAAATTTTAGACAGCCGTTTTATTTTATTAAGTTCTTAGCTAGATTTTCTTCTATCCACGCTTAATTAATTCTTTTTATTACAGAAAATATGGCGGAAAAGCAGCGGCTGGTCGTCCTCCTATTCCTGTTCTTCACTTTTCACAACGCGCTCATCGAGGCCGGCTGGATTTCCGTTCGCTTGGAGGTAAGCATCATCGATTACGGTAGAAATCCAATTTTTAACAAGGATTTGTTTACGAATCCGTCTATTTAATTAATAATAGACCGTTTGAAACTACCTGCGGCTCACAATCAGCAAACTATTAATATGCACCAATTTTTGGTGTGAATAGATTTCTCTAAAACATTGATTTTTCACACAACTCGAAAATTTTGTTGTCCATCCATAATTGTCTAAAGCAATGCATTAAATTTTACTGTAAACCTTCTTCATTCTTGTTAATTCATGCTCAATTTGGTGTTTCAAAAATGTGTTTCTGGTTCTGGTGTAGCAAAGCGTGAAAACGTTAGCTTAATCGTTCTTCTGTCCGAAAGTCCACAATATTTTAAGTGCCAAATTGCAAAAAAATAAGTCTTAATCACCTTTTTATTAAAACCCTGAAACCTAATTTTTAGCTGACGGTGATCGCGAGCTGCGCTAACGGGGAGCATCAGGGATCGGCTTTTCAGGTAGGCGTCTCCCGCTCTCTTTCTCTCTCTGTCTCTCTCTCTCTTTCTCTCTCTGTCTCTCCCTCTCTCTCTCTCTCTCTCTCTCTCTCTGGCCCGCTCTCTTTTTTCAGGAGCTCCTCCTACTGATGTATCTTTCGTTTTGTATAGGTCCAACTCTGGGAGCGAGATAGCGGCCGAAAAGGCCTAATGGCCATGTTCGATTCCGATGACCTGTTGGCGGAGGCGAATTGCAGAATTGGAGGTATGATCTCTTACAAGAGTTAAAAGGTTAGACTAAGAGAGAAAAACGATAATTAAAACCTCAAGAAATTTGCCGAATAGAGAGCACTTTTTAATGTTTCATCCCTAAAGCAGCTGCATGGGGCACGTGTTTACCTAATCGAAAGCATTTATTGCACCGTTTCTATTAGTATTTTTTGCATGCTATTTAGAGCCCTGCATAATTCGCGGTCAACACGACGAGTCGACTCCAGAATTCTATCTCCAATTTTCTGCGGTTGCCTGCGTGACGAAGGTGAGGAGAGGGCAGGCTAGCAGAGATTGTTGAGGAAGAGGAGAGGGCAGGCTAGCAGAGATTGTTGAGGAAGAGGAGAGGGCAGGCTAGCAGAGATTGTTGAGGAAAAGGAGAGGGCAGGCTAGCAGAAATTGTTGAGGAAGAGGAGAGGGCAGGCTAGCAGAGATTGTTGAGGAAGAGGAGAGGGCAGGCTAGCAGAGATTGTTGAGGAAGAGGAGAGGGCAGGCTAGCAGAGATTGTTGAGGAAGAGGAGAGGGCAGGCTAGCAGAGATTGTTGAGGAAGAGGAGAGGGCAGGCTAGCAGAGATTGTTGAGGAAGAGGAGAGGGCAGGCCTCCGGGAAATTCAGGAAAAATTTTGTAGTGCCGAACTGTCTCGACCACCGATTCTGGCTACAATTTTCGGATTTTACCCTATCCATGTAGAAACATCTGCATTTAATAGCCAAATTCAATCGAATTCAAGGTTTTTTATGCCTTCCCAGGCCCTTGAAAAGCCAATTTGGCAGCATTTAAACTCATTTTTGTTTTCAGGGCGCCCCTGTCTATTTCCTCTGCGCCGACTACCCGCTTGCGGCGCGCGGCGTCATGGAGGTGTTCAAAATTGACCAGCACCTCACGCTACTTCCAAATTCGATGACGTCGACTAATGTTTCGTTATATGATTGTACTGATTTGATCTAACAACTTTCCATTTTGATGATAATAACGCGCAAAGTTTTTGAAATTGTTTTTCGTTTGTGTATCTTGATCTTGTTCCACCATTACGAGATTTGTCCTTGAATTCGATACTCTCAGGATCTTTGGTCTTTCTAAATTTCGTATATTATGCCTTATTTTCGGTATAATTTTATTCTATTAAAATTTTGCTTTAACCTTGCTCCAAATCCTTCAAATTTTTTGAATTTTTTTGATTTTCTATTGAGATTTTCCAATATTTTTGGCCGTTTATTGCGGGTTCCAAATTCAAGTTAGCTTTTTATATCAGTGCTATATTAAACAATTTATCACAAAGAAACACAGCTAATGCTTCACCAACTTAAAATGTCGGGTTTTTGTGTTTCGGAAAAAATGGAGGCTACCTGGGCTAGTGGCCCATTAATATAGCGTCTTTCGGCTCGCTTGCTTTTCCTAAATAATCCCTGCTAGCCTGCCGTATTATTCTCTGCTTTTCTCGACTTGTACGCTCGCACTAGCATCGAAAATCTCGGAACGGCCGTCGGGGGGAATAATCGAATTAGGGCGGCTGTTTGTCGCACCCAGGGGCCCTAAAAAAGGCCAGGAAAAGCCTCGTCGTGTTTCCGTCTTTTTTAGCAGCCGATTTTACGTAAATTTCCCCAAATTCTCTCTGCTAGCCTGCCCTCTCCTCTTCCTCAACAATCTCTGCTAGCCTGCCCTCTCCTCTTCCTCAAGAATCTCTGCTAGCCTGCCCTCTCCTCTTCCTCAACAATCTCTGCTAGCCTGCCCTCTCCTCTTCCTCAACAATCTCTGCTAGCCTGCCCTCTCCTCTTCCTCAACAATCTCTGCTAGCCTGCCCTCTCCTCTTCCTCAACAATCTCTGCTAGCCTGCCCTCTCCTCTTCCTCAACAATCTCTGCTAGCCTGCCCTCTCCTCTTCCTCAACAATCTCTGCTAGCCTGCCCTCTCCTCTTCCTCAACAATCTCTGCTAGCCTGCCCTCTCCTCTTCCACAACAATCTCTGCTAGCCTGCCCTCTCCTCTTCCTCAACAATCTCTGCTAGCCTGCCCTCTCCTCTTCCTCAACAATCTCTGCTAGCCTGCCCTCTCCTCTTCCTCCACAATCGCTGCTTGGATGCCCTTCATCCTTCCATATATTCCGAGATTCCCCGCCATTTCAAATTCCACGTAGTACTCCCGCCAACTCACCCTCGTGGCCCTCATAAATCGTTTATTGTTGTGGCGCGTAGTCGTTTTTGCCCGCGGCCGCCATTTGCGATGAGTTTCGCGCGGCGCCGATTTTGAGGTCCCACACAACGTCGACAAACCCGTAAAATAGCCGCAGGCTATTTTAAGCGAATTGGAAGATTTGTGCCGGCAAAAGAAGTCTATTTATCCAAACCGGCGTCATATTACCCAAAGAAATATTTGAAACATTTTGCAATTTCGGAAAAGCTACTTTTTCCTTACCTCTTATACCTTTCACCTCTTCCTCTCCTTTTTATCTTTTAGTTGGGTTTTCAGTTTTTTTTCGCTTCGGGAAGCCATGTTTTGCAAAAGGCAATATGGCAACATTCTATCGAGAATATAATATTGTTAAAGGCATACTTTTAAGCCTAAGCCAAGGCTCAGCTAAGCCTAAGCCTAAGCTTAAGACTAAGCCTCGGCCTATGCCTATGCCGTTATTTTTGACTTCAGCAACCCTTAAAACCGCCTAAATATCTCTCGGCTTCATCCCCGGTGGCCACCCCGGGGCTTCGGCTTATCTCCTTGGGCCCCTCCTTGGGCCCCTCCTTGGGCCCTTCTGTTGGCCCTTTGCCCCCATTTCGAAGGTGTCACCCGTTGCGTGAGAAGCCGTTGAAATGTGGCCCTCTTCTTTTTGTCCTTTGCCCCTTTTCTTTAACCCACTCACCCGTCACTCCCCCTTTAATCGCCCGCCACAACAATTGACTTTTTTCGGAAGAGGCGGTTTGGGTTTCGCTTTGCGGCTATTTTTATTTCTTTGCTTTCTAGGCGCAATTTTTTTATTAGAGATGGAGGAAGCGTCGTAAATTGGTTTTTATTATACCTTACGCGAAAAACCATAAGACTTCTTAATAACACAAAATTTCATTTTTCCAGCAAAAATGGCCGATTTTCGAACAAAATTTTGAATGTTACGTTTTTTTTCAGATAGTCGCTCGACTTTAAATATAGTTAAATTTTACAAAGACCACGATCAATATAGGTATTATTAAGTTACTAGGCTTTTCGGCCACTGGAAAAAATGATCCCCCTGCCGATACTGCAAAAAAATGTTGCAAAAAAGCTCAACAATTGCGAATTCTTTTTTGCAATAATGTTGGTAGACGTTTGACCCAAAAACTTCCGAATTCATGCCTTGTCCTTCGCTATAATGCGATCAAAAAAAATACGACACGCGATGCAAGAGCGAAGCCTAAGCCTAAGCCTAAGCCTAAGCCTAAGCCTAAGCCTAAGCCTAAGCCTAACCTGAGCTTAAGCCTAAGCCCAAATCAGAAAAGCCCTTTCATTTGAAGTGTGAAATTATTTATTTCCCTTCAATCACTTTCAACCAAGGTTATTACAATTCGAATAATTATTTTCCACGTGAAAGATGAACCAGTAATCCTCCAAAGAAAGCGTGGGAACTAAGCGATTCTGTGAAGCATCATTTTGTGACTGGGCAAAAACTGGGTTGAGTTCCCATTTTGGGGTTCCCATGAATCCTCGAAATTGCATTACTATTATTACTAAAACTTACATTAAAAATCTATTAAATACACATTTTAGATGACAAACGTTATCAAGGCCAGTCAAAATCCAGCCAAAATTTTTTTCAGATTGTTGTTTCAAAAATTTTTCATAATCTTTGGCGATTTGGGCCCGTTAATTCTTCGCTACACTTTATGTCAAAAATTTCCTCGAATCGCCGGATCTAAAAACGGGCGGCCCAACCTGCGGAAAAACCCGGGCGGCAAAATTGGGCTTATTAGTGGGCCCTAAGGGTGGGCCCTGGGGCCCGCCTTAGGGCCCACTCTTTTAGAGGCAATGTTCCGCCTCCCGGGGTGAATTATTTATGGAAATTTGTCGCATTGCCCTCTCGCTTCTTGTTTTATATCGTTTCTGATGTTTTTGCGAGACCTTCCAACTACAAATTACAAAAAGAGTCCACTCGCGAATTGTGTTATTTCTACTCGTTTATTAATTTTTTACTTTATTTATGTAATTCTTGACATTTTCAATCCTTAATATCTAATTTTATAAGCAAGCAACAAGCTTTTATATTTATAGGCTACCCAATGGTCTACAGTTATTTTGTAGCGGGCGAATTATAATTGTGCACGGATTTCAAAACGCCGGTACGGAAAATAAATGATGCACGAAAATCAGCGACGCAAACTGCCTTACCTTACCTTAATGGTTTCTCGCTGTTGTTATTCTTAATTTCGTTTCCTGCTTTCGAATAGTTAGTAATTAATCGTTTTTATATGCATCGCTATACCTTAGGCAAATTGAATCTGACCTTACCAGATGATCCGTTTACAAATAGTTTCTTCAAAAAAATTATCTTGAAAATAACTGTTTCATCAAAGAACCAAATCCGAAAAAAATTGGATTTATTAATGGGTTTGATTTTTCAACGATTCGAATTTTGTAGCATTTTTGGCACATAGCAATTTTATCAACCCGATTTTACAGAGCGTTTTCGAAAAGCTTGTACAATTTTCAAAAAAATATTTATTTCATAAAAAAGCAAATCCCGAAAACAAAAACTGCTTCAAGGATGGCGCCATATCGATTCTCTGCGCGAAATGTAGTAAATTCTCGAAATATCAATTTCCTTCAATTTTCCAATAGAATTTTAATCAAATTAAATTTAACGATCCCATGCTAGATATTGAGCCTCCGAAACGCTTGTAATTTTTTTACAGAAAGCGTGTTTCATCAAAAAACAAAAATTGAAAAGATTGGGTGAGTCCATTCGGGGTGCCTTCCCATCGTCACAAATTTGTCATATAGTCTTAGTTACAGTAATTGACATCCCGTAGCTTCAAAATCTATTAATCTCATTTAAATTTACATCGCCGCAGCACCGATTTTTTTTTTGAACAATCTTTTTTAGGTAAATCCTCTCCGGCATAGATTACCCCGAAATTCCGGCGACGGTTCGCATAAATTTTTGGGGGGCGTGGCTTCCGTGGGTTCCGGTCATATTTCTGGATTTGTGGAAGCCAAAATCGAGCCAAAGCCGAGGGGGGACACCACCGCCACGGCCACGGCTAATATGGCCCGGGGGACCGCTTTGGAGTAGTAGGGACGCAAGGCGTGGTTTTGAGTTTTTTGTGCGTAACGTACTCCTTAAGCTTCGCCTTGAGACGAATCATAGGTTCTTTTGCATTATCGGGGGGGGGGGCAACTTTTTTCTTAGGCCTTATTTTCTCTGATATAAATAGTGGAAGTGTCCCATGCTGGTTTTTACTATTCCGGAACTTTCCAAATTCACAATTTAACGAAATTTTCTTATTACGTACAAAAAACACCGATTTTTCCACCCCAAAATTGCCCATTTACGATAAAAATTTTCTAGAGAGATTTCTATTTTCCCACATTCTGATTTTCCCCGAGATGATGTGTCGGTGGTTGGGCAGGAGGGAGAGGGGAGGAGGAGATCGGGGTAGGGATGTCTCCTGGAGCATCGCTGATTCGATTCTCGACCTCCCGATGCCCAACAGACTCCCGAGAGAAAGAGCGTGAGAGAGATAGAGAGAGAGATAGAGAGAGAGATAGAGAGAGAGAGAGAGAGAGAGAGAGAGAGAGAGAGAGAGAGAGAGGAAAGAGAAGCGGGGGGGGGGCAAAAAAAATCGCTTCTGTTAGAGAAACTCGAAACAAGAGAAATCGAGACCTCTAGTCAGCATTGTCAGCTTTCATTTTCTATTTCATGAACCGGATTTTCCATTTTCTCTCTTATAATTTTGCCAATTTTTCCAATATGACCTGATTCCTT